CCACTTTCCCCACCCCCTAAAATTCCTTTTTCAAAATCCGAATCCAAAAATTTCCCTTCTTTATCAAAATTCTTTTCAATTTAATTAAACCCCCCCCCCCCCCCCACCCCCCCCCCCCCCCCCCCCCCCCCCCCCAAATTAAAACCCTAGCACTTTTCGGGTTATACTCGGGAAGCTTTTTCCCTCTATAATTTTTACAGTCTTTTTTTTTCCCCTTTTCCCCTTTTTTAAAGGGGGACTATACGCTCTTTTGCCAATCCCAAAGGTCCCTTCCCTCTTTTCATACATTTTTAAACAAAAGCCCAACCCACTCCAACACAAATACCCCCCCTGCTTTTAAAAAAATTTCTGTTAAATCCCATCAGTTCCGGGGTTTTTTCCCCCCTTCATTTTACGAAAATTGTCACGTACCTCCCCACATTACATTCTGCCCCTTTTTCCCACCCCAAAAAAGTGGTATACCCCCCTGCCCAGTGCATAAAAATTTACTGCCCTTTTTTCTTCCTTAACTTTAAAAAGTTCCTCAAAATATTTTTGCCATCTCCCCAAACCCCCCTCCATCTCCCCATTATAACCCCCCACCTGTTTTTAACTGACAAATTTCCTTTTTTTCCTAGGCTTTTTTAAATTGTTTAACTACTCCCAAAAATTTTTTTTTTATTTTCATTAAAAATTCTTGACCGGGGGGCCCTCCCCCTTGTCATTGCTCTCCTTTTGGGACTCTTCACCACTCTCTTTACCTTTTTTTAATCTCCATATATTGCTCTTCTTTAAAAACACTTCTGCTTTTTAAAAACCCCTCATAAAACTCCCCTTTTTTTTTTTTTATCTCTTTTATTTATATATATATAATTTTTATATATTATATATTAATTTTTAAAATATAATATATATTTTTAAAAATTTTATATATTAAAATTTTTTTATATATTTTATATTTTTTATTATAATATATATATTATATATATATTATAAAATATATATTATATATATAATATTTTATAATAATTATAAATTTTTAATTTATAATATATATTTAAATTTAAAATATATATAATTTTTTATTTTTTAATATTATATTATATTTATAATATTAAATTTTTTTTTATATTTATTTATTTTTTATTTCACACTGGCCGATTCCCCCAAGGGGGTTTGGCCCCGGGAAAAAAAAAACTTTCACCATCATTCACTCCCGCACTTTTCTTGAGGGAAAGGGGGCTTTTCACTTCAGTTTTTAAAATGCAAATTAACCCCCTCCTTCAGGTGAGGCACTGTATTCCCATCTCCAGGACTCAAGTCCGGGGCCCCGCCGGTTTCCCTGAATTCCCCTTTTAAAAATGTTACTTTTCTCACCTCCAAAAGCCGTTTAAGTTAAATTTAAAAAAAAAAATTTTCTCCATTTTTCCTATCAAACAGCCTTTCAGCCCGCTGGAAGTCCAAGCCCCTGCACACCAAAAACCCCCTTTCCCCCCCTCCCTCCAAAAATTTCCTAGGGCCCACCCTACCCCCCCCTTCCTTCCACTACAGTGAAAACAATCTTTTAAGTATTTTGTTTCGCTCCCTTTTCTCTACATGTCCCAACCCCTCAAAAACCCCTTCCCCAAGGGCCCCCTTTGGGCAACAGTTTTGGGAAACCCGCACCTCCTCCTAACTTCCAAAATACGAAATTTCTGCATTATATTCACAAACCCCAAAAATTGCCCTCGGGCCCTGCCTTTTTCAATGCCTCCCGCCCTTTTCCTCGCTGCAACATTCAAACACCCCCGTTCACCCCATATAAAAGGGGTTGGTAAAAACTGTTTCTTATAATTCCCCCCTTTTTCCTCCAAGGGGCAAAGTTCTTTTTTCTCCCCAGACTCCTAAGTGCACCATCACTCTTTTTTCCCTTATCAATTCTATGATTCCTCCATTTCATGACCAAACCGCTGGGCACGTCCACTCCAAATATCTGGGAAAACGTTCACCTCCCCCCATACTTTCCCTCCCAAACTGATATTTAGTTTTCTTTACCTAATCTTTTTGTTACCCAAACCTTACTCTTTTTCCGGGAAATTTACCTTTTTAAAATTTTTTTCTTTTGCCAAAACCCCACCAATTCATCCACCAATCTTGCAACTTTCTTCAGGGGAAACTCCCCAAAAGGGCCCCGTGTCAAACAGCCCAAAAAAACAGCTGTTTAAAAATCCCCCTTTTGTGTGTGATTCCCTTTTCTTTTAACTCAAGGGCCCTTTTTCCCAAAACCCCCGCAATTTTCTTCTTTAAAACCCCCTCTATTTAAAAATTTTTTAAACAACCACGGTGACTTTACACATCCTTGTCTAAGGCCTACTTTTACTGGGAAATAATTTCCCTCTTTCCTACATACTCTAACTTGAGCCTCACTATCCTCGTAAAAACTCTTCACTGCTTTCAGTAACCTACCTCCTACACCATACACTTGCAACATCTGCCACATTGCCCCCCTATCCACCCTGTCATACGCCTTTTCCAAATCCATAAATGCCACAAAGACCTCTTTAGCCTTTTCTAAATACTGTTCACTTATATGTTTCACTGTAAACACCTGGTCGGCACACCCCTACCTTTCCGATATATAAATAAATATATATATATATAAATAAATATATATATAAATAAATATATATATAAATATATATATATTTATTTATATATATTTATTTTATATATATATATATATATATTAATTTATTTATATATATATATATATATATATATATATATATATATATATATATATATATATATATATATATATATATATATATATATTATTATATATATGTGTGTGTGTGTCGTGCCGAATAGGCAGAACTTGCGATCTTGGCTTAAATAGCAACGTTCATCTTGCCATATAGGACAAGTGAAAATTTGTGTATGCAATAATTTCACCAAAATCATTCGGAGCCTAATGAAAAAAATATATTTCACTGTTTGTTTATTATTAAATTATTGTAAACAAATCTAAAATATATTTAGTTGGGTTAGGCTAAAATAAATTGTGCTTGTTATGATAAGGTTAGGTAAGTTTTCTAAGTTCCTTTTGGTGCAAAATTATAAATTTTTACATCAACATTAATGAAAAAAATATATATTTAAACGTATAAGAGAAAATTTTAGAAAGGACTTAATTTTAAATGAGTTCTTGCCAATTGACCAGTTTTACATATTCGGCACACACACACACACACACACACACACACACACACACACACACACTGAGAGACTAGTGTATATAAGGTGATCACTTCGGTATTGTTTCTCGCAGTATTTCATGCTCCCCCCAAGGCCATGCCACGCCCTGCTATTATGCATAAATAATAATAATAATAACTATATATATATATATATATATATATATATATATATATATATATATATATATTATATATATATATATATATATATATATTTATATATATATATATATATTAATGTGTGTGTGTGTGTGTTACACACACACACACACACATTATATATATATATATATATATATATATATATATATATATATATATATAGTTATTATTATTATTATGCATAATAGCAGGGCGTGGCATGGCCTTGGGGGGAGCATGAAATACTGCGAGAAACAATACCGAAGTGATCACCTTATATACACTAGTCTCTCAGTGACGGAAATTGAACGTTCTGAAGTGTAAACTGTTCTAGCCCTGCAGGACCAGCCTCGCCTTCCTCACTGAGGATATGACCTTAAGAGGAAGGAGGAAGAGAGACGGAGCAGGTGGTGGAGATGAGAAAATTGGCTAAACAAGAAGCAGCAGAAGACGGAGCAGGAAATGGGAGAAAAGACGCGAGATATGAGCTAAATAAGAGAGAGAAGTTGGAACAGATGAATCAATTGGTAGAGATGTGGAAATTGATTATGATAATTGTACTTATGTGTAACTGTACCAAAATAAACTTACATACATTTACTGGTATGCATAGTATACTTGGACACGGAGCGCTAGTAATGCAAGTACAGTGACTGCAGTGTTACGTCTGCATCACAACCAGCTTTGAAATGTTCCTAATTGGATCATTTGTTTTCTTACTCCCACGGTAATGTCAAATCTCCATTCAACCTTATACATATTCACAGTAACCTAATAAATTTGAATTGCTAGTGGAGTAATTAATGCCACCTGAGAAACTACGCAACCAAAGGAACAAACTAGCATTCATGAGAAAACTTGAGCTTTGTAAGAAACTTTAAACATTCACTACAAGCGACGTCAGTTTAAGAAGAACAACGATGCAAGTTCCTGGCGAGTCTGGAGTTTATTAAAAGATATTACGTATAGTGCTCAATAATACCCCACATGGAGACAAACTCAGGAGATTAATTGATCTGTATATTTCTACCCCCCCCCCCCCTTTGGGATCCTCTCCATCTGCTGAAGGGGGCCGAAATATATAATCAGTTAATCTGAGTTTGTCTCCATGTGGGTTATTACTGAACATTGACAAGTGTTCATTACATTTTAGTAATTCAGCAGACGAAGAGGATCCCAGAAGGGGGTCGAAATATATAAATCAATTTAATCTCCGGAGTTTGTCTTCACTGACAAGTGTTCATTGCACTTTAATTATTCATTACATAGTCTTCACATGGAGGAAACAATGTGACTGATTACACATTATACACAGTAATGTAAGTTAAGAAAGTGTAAATAGATCTTTTTTTTTACAATGAAGAATTAGCTCTTCCCCGTGAATATTATATGATCGCTACCTGCCTGGACCAACAATATTTACCTAGTTTATTAATAACTTATTAATTACTGTATTTTAGAAGTGAGTAAATTAGACTGATGTATTTTTTTTTCGTCGTTTACCTGATTATTAGAAGTTATTGAGGTTTGTGTGTGTGTGTGTGGTGGGAGTACTTTATGGGGGGGCATGGCGGGTGTTTTATGGGTGTGTATGGTGGGCGTGTGTTGTGGGCGTGAATATTAATGAAACATCTCCCACAGAGAGATGAGTCAGCAGGGGATGAGGAACGTCTCCTGCCACGCCTTCGTAGGACTTCGCTCACTACTCAATCTGTGAGTAATAATTCTCTCTCTCTCTCTCTCTCTCTCTCTCTCTCTCTCTCTCTCTCTCTCTCTCTCTCTCTCTCTCTCTCTCTCTCTCTCTCTTTCTCTCTCTCTCTTTCTCTCTCTCTCTCTCTCTCTCTCTCTCTCTCTCTCTCTCTCTCTCTCTCTCTCTCTCTCTCTCTCTCTCTCTCTCTCTCTCTCTCTCTCTCTCTCTGTCTCTCTCTATTTCTCCATCTGGCTGTTTATTTTTCACTGCCTTTTTTTTAATTAATTTACTTTTGCTGTTCTAATTCTGGGTGTATTTAAGGCGATATGTATGTCTGCTCCACACACACATAGGGCCAGGAGCTGTGACTCGACCCCTGCAACCACATGTAGGATATCATACACATACACTTCTCCCTTGGTAATAATATTTTTCCATCTCTCCCCAGCAGAAATTTATCCAACAATCAGTTGAGTCACCTGTCTGGCGGCGCGTTCAGCGGACTGTCCACTTTACTGTCTCTGTAAGTATCAGAATTAGTGACGGTTGCTTGAGGAAAGTGTAGGCTGCTGTTGTTAATGTTGCTGGTGATGGAGTAGGTTGCTGCTGTTACTGGTGATAGGGTAGGCTGCTGCTGTTACTGTTGCTGGTGATAGGGTAGGCTTCTGTTGTTAATGTTGCTGGTTTAGGGTAGGTTTTTGTTGTTAATGTTGCTGGCGATGGGGTAGGCTTCTGTTACTGTTGCTGTTGTTGGTTTTGTATTCCTTAAGATTTAGGTAAAACAAAAAGAGTTAGAAGCATACAGATGAAAGTTAATTAAAATGATAAAGTGCCATAGGTGAATATAAGCTTTCACCAGCCGCTCTGAAATACTCATGTGATGACTGCCAGACCTAGGACTCCCTCAGGGAGGTATGTCGAGTCTAAGCAAATGATGACAAGAAAAATGGATAGAGGAGGGACGGGAGGGCTGAGAATAAGGGTTTTTAAGATAGTAAGGTTTACCATATTATTAATGGTATATAACGCCTACACAGCAGGCGAAACCTATCGTCTGCTGTGCAGGCGATAGGTTTCGGTTGTAAAGATGCCCTAGGGTTGTACATGTTTCTTTTTCATCACCTAAGCAGAAGGCCACGTACCTGGCCTCTGTCCCCTCTCTTGTTGCTATTACGAGCAATAGCTGGTATCTTAAGATAGTAAAATTACAGTGACGCTACACACGTTACCCGATTAATTTTAGACTCGTAACTTATAAAGCAAGAACTTCATGTAATGTAGCAGAGCTCACAGGGTATAAACACCGACATGTGCATTAGTCTCAGTGTACGAGTTTATATGCAGAGAGTTTATTTTATTTCCTGTTCCGAGAGATTAAATTATTTTTGGCTTATGCTGAAAAGTTTACGTGTAGCCCTATTGACCCATTAACCCAGGGGTCGGGGGAACTGGGATAAATTACCTCAAATGCGGTAAAAATGAAAATCTCGGGAATGAAGACTCAATAAATATATATAAAATTGCACAAAAATTTATTTAATAAACGAGGCAAATTACGAAAGTTATATTTTTTTCAAACAAATAATTTGTAGTTTCTTAATAAACTTAAATGTAAATGTAAAATTAAATGATGTATAACGGGTAAGGACTGCAGTGGCTGGCAACACTGCGAGTGTCTGCAGTGACTCGGGAGCCGGCACGACAGCCGCACGTCTCATTGTTGACACACCATCACCTAACTTTTGGTCTAGTGTTCTATCTCGCTATCAAAAATTGTCTCTGCTTGCAGTCAGTAGAAGTTCATTGTTTATGTTAGTAGGTTTAAGACTTTCGATGAGGAAGGTCAGGTAGTGTTTTGTGATTTGTCATAACAGTTAGGAGTATACAATGCAATATTTATATTTTTTTATTAGAATTTATGATTCCATTTATAGATATTTGAAAGTGCTCAAATATTATTTTGTTAATTTTGTGTTGTATTTTTAAAGTGGCTGTATCGCGTATAATACGTACTTGCTTTTTATGACTATTCTCCACACAAATGGATTCAGTAAGCTATTTTGAATTTGAATGATCTGTGTGTTTTTCCGGATTCTGTGGACTTTTAAATCTATTGGGTAATTTCGCTGTACACAAATTTGTTTTTGGGTAATACCCAAAAAAGTTCGCTGACCCCTGCGTTAACCCAACCAACAAAGTGTATCGTTTACACTCTCTAGATAGTCTCTCTCGAGAATAAGAATTAAGCATATGTGCAACATCTGGGTATCTTTATTGTAGACGTTTCGCCACCCAGTGGCTTTATCAATACAAAGTTAAGATAACTGGAAGACACTAGAACTGTATACAGAAGATGAGGTAATCAGTCCCTTAACCTTAGAGTTGGTAAGAATACCTTAGTGGAGAAGACTCTTCTCGACTACGATGCACTTCACTAACTCCAATCCTGAGGGACTGATTACGTCATCTTCTATATACTGTTCTAGTGTCTTCCAGTTATATCCTTAAATTTGTATTGAAAAAGCCACTGGATGACGAAACGTCTACAATAAAGATAACCCAGATGTTGCACATGCGTTATTTCATCATCTTGTTGGTACTGTATAGTACTACACATGTACAGCCAGTCCCTCCCTAAAGGTGTCTCTAGCTAGACCGAATGACAGGTATTGTTTTAATATTTTGTGAAAAATAAGAGGGGGGGGTCATGTGTTGATTTAATGTGGTGTGTTCTCTGTTCCATTCCCCCAGAGACCTCCGTCACAACCAGTTGAGTGTGATGGACCCGAGGGTGTTCTCTGGTCTCACCAGCCTCCACCACCTGTGAGTGTTGATGTTCTCTGTACCCCCTTAACACTAGCCTCCACCACCTGTGAGTGTTGATGTTCTCTGTACCCCCTTAACACCAGCCTCCACCACCTGTGAGTGTTGATGTTCTCTGTACCCCGTTAACACCAGCCTCCACCACCTGTGAGTGTTGATGTCAGTACCTTCCTCTCTTCTCCCCTCTCCCCACTCGGAGCAGGTAGTCAAACACACACAAACAGCCACACCCTGAGCAGGTAGTTATGCACACACAAACAAGAACCACCCCCTGAGAAGGTAGTCACACAAAAAATAAGCAAGAACCACCCTCTGAGCAGGTAGTCAAACACACACAAACAAGAACCCCTCTTGAGCAGGTAATCAAACACAAAATAAGAACCATCTCCTCTGGGCAGGTGGACAGACGAGTTTCGGTTTTGCTGCCTGGCGCGGGAGGTGGGCTGGTGCCACCCTCCTCCAGATGAGTTCAGTTCGTGTGAGGACCTCATGACCAACAGCGTGCTCAGGGTGTGTGTCTGGGTCCTGGGCTTCATAGCTCTCCTCGGCAACTCCTTCGTCATCGTGTGGCGGCTCCTCTACGCGAATGATAATAAGGTGAGAAGGGAAATGAAACCTATTCAGAAGTCTGGTGAAAATAAGAATGTTAGGTGAGCAAAGTGTGTTTAAATTTGTCTGTATGATTATCATTATTGATTTATGTCTAACTATATGAATAAAGAGACAAATTAATTCTTGAGAAGCTATAATATACCATTCAGTCCCTTAGATTTTCACTCGGTTTATGAAGATACGTAAGCAAACACTAGGACATATTTATTAGAAAACGTTTTGTTCCTGGGACCTTGATCACTTACAGAAGTTAAAAAAAAAAAAACGGTACATATAAGCGGAGAGTGAGGTGTGAGTGACATACGGTGATCTGAAGTCACTATATGTCACTCACACCTCGCTCACCGCCTATATATATATATATATATATATATATATATATATATTATATATATATATATATATATATATATATATATATATATATATATATATATTGTCTTTTTAACCTCTGTATGTTAGAAGTGATCAGGGTCCCAGGACCGAAACGTTTTCTAATAAATATATCCTAGTGTTTGCTTACGTGTCTGTCTTAACCAATTTGTCGGTATCTATCAATAAGTTTTATACCATATTTTCACACCTATCTACTTCACACGGGTAATTAAGGCAGTTCACCTTCACTAACATCAGAGATACTTTAATCCTACTTACTGGTTTTAAACTCACATTGTATATAGAGATATACACCTGTGTGTATATACTTTTTTATGCTGTATACTATTATTGAGCAATAGTGCTTATCATAGACATATTACGAATTTTGATCAATAATGATTATATTATGCCACTTTAGATAATATCGCACGAACTTTAAATGGTAAAACCTTTTCCATTATTAATTGATCTACCATATTACCTTAAACGGTATATTTCCTTAAAATGTATTACCCTGAAAAAGCTACTATCTTAAATATAACGCCTTCGGAAATATTACTTAAATGTCTGCCAGTTTCAAAGGCGTTAGCAAGTAAGGTTGCAGTAGCGATGATTGATTTGCTGGTTCCCAGGTGCACTCTTTCCTCATCACCAACCTGGCACTGGGTGACCTGTGCATGGGACTCTACCTGCTCATCATTGCCGCAGTAGATATCTTCTACCGCGGTGTCTACTTCATCTACGACGCTTTCTGGAGAACCTCCTCCCTCTGCCAGCTGGCGGGGTTCTTCTCCACCTTCTCCAGCGAGCTCTCAGTCTTCACCCTCACAGGTAGCAACATCATCTTCACCCTCACAGGTAACAACATCTTCACCCATTTACCCTCCCTCCCCCTTTTCTACTCCAGTTGTTTATGGGGTTAAGTTTAAAACTTATTAACTGCAATAATGAGCATTAAGACTGCGTTTCATCTTCACATCACCAGGGTTACAGTAAACTTGTAGTGTACAATGTACAATACAAGTACATACAACAAGAGATACACCTCTTGGTTTATATATCCCGTGTATATACCCCGGTGTGTATACACCGGTGCTTACATCATACATTGCTTTCGTTCACAGGGTCGTTACGGAAAGTCATCACATCAATAACGACTTCCTTGTGTTATCAGCTCCAGTCGTCACTACACAACATTCCTTCTCCACTCTTCATAACTAGTCTTCACACCTCTGGTACTTTCCTCGTCAATCATCACAGAGTCGTTGTGTAAAATCCTGGGAAAGAGGAGCGTAAGAGCGCAACGTAAGCCACAATGTCTGGCCTTCTGGGGTTATCAGCCCTCCGGGTTTATAGTAACCCGAAGACTGGGACAAAGTTCCGCTTCAAGAGTAGCTTTTCTAACGACTCACTTGCCATGGGTTCTAACCCCACCCGTTCCGTGGTTTGCTGTTAGTTTACACATGACGGAATCTCTTGTTACACCCTCAGCTGAAACACCCGCACTGGTTTACCGCTTCACATAAGCATATAATAGTAAATAACTAAAGTGCAATGAGCACTTGTCAGTGCTCAGTAATACCCACACAGAGACAGAAACTCAATAGATTAATTGATCTGTATATTTCGTGCCCCTTATCTTCGTCTGCTGAAGAGGATCAATTAATCTCCTGAGTGTCTGTCTCCATGTGGATTATTATTGAGTATATAATGGTAAATAACCCGAAATGTTTTCTTGCGTGTTTGATGACCGAGTCCCTCTTCCCTGGCCGGCAGTAATCACGCTGGAGCGCCTGGTGGTCATCGTCTTCCCGTTTCGTGTTCCTCGTCTGAGCATGAGGTGGACCAAGGTGATCATGGGCGTGGTGTGGGTGTGTGTTGCCTTCCTCGCCGCGCTACCCCTCGCTGACATACACTACTTCAGGTCAGCTCACCTCACACACACAGTTCCTCTTAACGCTGACCATTTTACAAATATAAATAATTTATTTCTTTTCTGCAGTATACAGGTACTGTAACTTGCATGAAATAAAATATTGTTAGGCACAAAAGAAAGCCAGGCTGAAATACGTAGGCATAATGAATGCTGATTTTCCTGCAGGAACTTTTACGGGAGATCTGGGGTGTGTCTGGCTCTCCACATTACTCACGAGAAGCCCAGCGGCTGGCAGTACTCCGTCTTCCTCTTCCTGGGTACGTGTTTGTGCTCACTGATTGTTACTCAGCTATTTGTATTCACCGATGTATATTGCTGGGTCAGGGTCTTGGCTTCTGGCTCCTCCTTGTGATCTTTGGTCACTGGCATTAATAGTTTCTGGCCTTTTGAGCCATATTATACCTGCTTTTAGAAATATATGTAGACGATGAACTTAGATTAAGTCGTAATGAACGACTGTAAATGAATATGTATAGAATTATATGTAGAACTTGTCTCCACCATTTGTGTGTGTGTGTGTGTGTGTGTTTCTGTATGTTAGGAATGGGGGGTGGTAGGGTGCGTATGTTGGGGATGTGTACTCGCCTAATTAACCTAATTGTGGTTGCAGGGGTCGATTCATAGCTCCTGGCCCCGCCTCTTCACTGGTCGCTACTAGGTCACTCTTCCTGTTCCATGAGCTTTTTCATATCTCTTCTTAAAGCTATGTATTGATTCTGCCTCTACTACATCACTTCCCAGACTATTCCACTTCCTGACAACTCTGTGACTGAAGAAATACTTCTTAACATCCCTGTGATTCAGCTGAGTCTTCAGCTTCCAACTGTGACCCCTTGTTGCTATGTCCCATCTATGTGTGTGTGTGTGTGTGCGCGCGCGCGCGCGCGTGTGTGTGTGTGTGTGTATGGTCATGTATTGCACAGAGCGCTGTAACTCCTTCGACTCCCAGCACTCCGTAACTTTTAAAACTTATTCTTTTGTTTTCTTCCTCTTGGTGGTTCAGTGCTGAACCTGGCATCGTTTTCTGTGATCGCCGGATCTTACTGGGGTATGTATCGGGCGGCGCGCACCTCCAGCGCCGCCGTCAGAAGCGACCTTCAGCGTCGGGAGACCAGCATGGCCAGAAAGATGACTCTTATAGTAGTGACAGATGCCGCCTGCTGGCTGCCCATCATCTTGCTAGGCGTGGTGTCTCTCGCAGGAGTCACAATACCACCTCAGGTAGGTCCTAGTACCTCAGGTAGGGCCTGGTACCTCAGGTAGGGTCTGGTACCTCAGGTAGGGCCGGTATCTCAGGTAGGGCCTGGTATCTCAGGTAGGGCCTGGTATCTCAGGTAGGGCCTGGTACCTCAGGTAGGTCCTGATACCTCAGGTAGGTCCTGGTACCTCAGGTAGGGCCTGGTACCTCAGGTAGGGCCTGGTACCTCAGGTAGGGCCTGGTACCTCAGGTAGGGCCTGGTGCCTCAGGTAGTTCCTGGTACCTCAGGTAGTTCCTGGTACCTCAGGTAGTTCCTGGTACCTCAGGTAGGGCCTGTTACCTCAGGTGGGTCCTGGTAGAATACTACATAAACACTAAGAACAGAAAAAAAATAATTACAAAAAAAAAGTTTTATTCAGAAATCGATCGTGTTTTCCAAGTCATCATTTAGGTGTTCAGAATCCTCGTCTATATGTGCAAGAGTCATCATCATAGCGTTCAGAGCCTCATGCCGAATACACATGTGCATACCCTTGTGGCAGGTGTTCGCCTGGGTGGCTGTGTTTGTGCTGCCTCTGAACGCGGCCATCAACCCCTTGTTGTACACAGTGTCTACGGCGCCCTTCCTCAGCAAGGCCAGGGAGCGCGCCCTCAACGTGCGTTCCTCCTTCAGGTGGTCCATCTCACGCAGGGCCACTAACTCTTCAACAGGCACAGGTTAGTTTGTCCATATACACAGTTAACATTCATGTTCATAGGTCGTTCACATATCAACGCTGTGAATGTGGGAAAACAACGAAATAGGTTGATTTGCTATATGTAAACATACTGTAATGATTGTAAAAATCCTACCTTCCTGTCCTTGGATCAAACGTAATTACTGCCTATGAAGCACTAAATCCCTACGGGTTTATTACTTCATAAATATAGTAATAAAAAGTTTACCTGGAGAGAGTTCCGGGGGTCAACGCCCCCGCGGCCCGGTCTGTGACCAGGCCTCCTGATAATAATTTAAAAATTATGCAGTCGGTATTTCTGCCGCACAAATTTAATTTGTTTCACATCATATAAATTTTTAAAAATGTAAACTTTGATGGTAAAAGAGAGAGAGAGCTCTTCAGCATGGCCTCACTAAACTAACACTTTGCTTTATATAACTCATGACTTGTTAAACTTGTTCCACTTCTAATACACTAACTCGCAGCTCTTATAAACCCACAAATTCGCAGTTTTTTTTTTTAATACACTGGCTCTCTCCCACCGAGGCAGGGTGACCCGATAAAAAAGAAAAAAAACCACTCATTAAAAAACACTCATTGTCAATCATTCAATCACTCTTTCCAGGAGCGTGCTGATATAATTCAGATGGCCCTCCGAACTGCACCATCGCCATTCCTCTTCTCAGATCTTATAACTCAGTAATTCGCAACAATTCTAAACCACTAACTTGCAGCTATTCAAACTCTCTAACACACAGTCTCTTCTAATCCATGACCTGATACCCTCATCCAATCCTTCAAGTGGCAACCTCTCCTGATTCAAGACCTCGTCTCAACTACATAAATTGTTGTTGTTTACTTCTTGACCTCGTCTACCCCTTGTAAAGCTGTTGATGACAGGACAACGGTGGTGAAGCCCACGCTGACCCTGGGTGACCTGGATCATACCCCTGGGGCTCTGTCGACCCTTAGTGCTCTCCATTTGCTCACCCCGCATGTCAACCACCTCAACTCTACCCGCGGCCACCAGCCTAGGAGGTCACAATCTCTTCACGGCACCGTGGGTCATGTTGTGGCCAAGTATGTGGGTTAGGTTTGTAGTTATTGCGCCCATGTGTTGCTCTAGTTTAGTGTATGGGTTAGGTTTTTAGTTCATACTTCGTTGTCTTGTTGTAGTACGTGGTTAGTGTTCCTCGCTAGCGATTCTGTGTCTTTTAATATGTTTATGTGTCTAGTTAATACTGTCATATCTTCAAGTCTTAGTCTTGTTCAGATATATGCTTCATGTTTTATATTTAGTGCTTACAAGGCTTGTTGAAATCTGTAGAAAATACCGACAAGTTGAAGATTGAAGAATTGAGACACTTGTGCAACCATTCGCCACAAAGTTGAAGATTATATCGTTCCATACCATAGAGCTGAACTCTTCTCCAGGCTGAGGGACTGACCACCTCAAATAATTTTGTCTCGGAGGTTAATGGACTGATTACATCATTTTTATTTCAATACTACTGCTCCCTTCGTATTTGGCTGAGGAAGCCTACTGTGTAGGCGAAACGGTTCATCAATAAACATACCCAACTGTTCCACATGTGTCTTAACCTTACAAGGCTTGTTCACATACGGCGGTTTTACGCTTTGCCATCAACAAGAGCTATGACTACCGGAGTCATCTACAGGTGAGTCATGTTAAGAGTTAATGATTCTGTATCTGCTGCTCTTTCGTGTGGCTTAAGTCTACAGCCCTGGCTGCTAAGTCTGTTGCTTCTAGGTCTCTGCTAAGCAAGTACGTATTATCATAATGATCAGGAGGAAGCTCAAAATCCCTAAAAGTTATATGGGGCCTGGGGAATGGCTGGGGTATTGAGCAGTCAAGTTTGATCCAAGGAAAGGAAGGTAGATAAGAATAGTATACAATACTGACATGATGGGGAAAACAGACTTGATAAATCCCACTGTTTGAGTGAAACGTTGTCAGTGAAGGATCTCATTATACTGTATTTGTGTCTTTCCAAAGGGAGGATAGTTCTAATTCCTCACTTCAGAATTGGAGCCATCTATGAGCGCTAGGTGACCCTCTTTTTCTTGAAAGGTAGGTACGTGGTTCTTGCTTTGTCTTCTATGTTGTGTTTGTTAAGTGTTGTGGTCTGGGATGACTAGAGTACATGCAGCGGTGTAAGATAAAAAGTTCTACACACTGTTTCTTGTTTACATACGAAGCCAGTCCTTTTGAATGCTAAATTCACGTCAGAGTTTACTTCTTGGTACACCTCAGAGAGCTCGGACGGTAAAGCTTATTTCTTTGATACACTCAGGAATATTGATCAAATTGTCGGTTTTCTAAACTGTTTATACAAACTCCAGGAATACCCTATAATGTCATCTTAAAGAATGCGATTCTCTGTTCTCATATTTCTGAATAGCTGATGCTCAGCCGAATGGATCCGGGTTCGATTCTCTGCCGGATAGAGATATAATGCAATTTTCTTACACCTACTGTTCGCTTTAATCTAGTAGCAAAAAAACTGATACATAAGACCCTTGTGGAAATAAACACTTCGTGTGACTTTGTTGAGTTATCCCCAAGTTAAACACATTTATTATGCTTCCTTTCACAGGCGGAACACAAATGAAGAATGGGCGGTATCTCAGAGAGAGATCATTCCCCTGTGTGAGCTGACCAACCACACGCATACGCAGCTCTCCAGACAACTCTCACGCAAGAAGCACGCAAAACACCACCATGAACTCTATGACTGAGGCTAGACACCCTCGTTCTTCTTGCATCACTACATCATTATACAGAAAAATATCACCGGCAACCTCTCATCACATTAACCTTCTTAATTATAAGAAATAACATAGAATTGGGTCATAAATATTTCGTATGATTTACTGAGATGAGTTATCTTCATCACTACAACCATTCACACTATAGTCACTACGGTAATTACTGCTACATGTCTAATTCCTTAATCACCAGATGTCACCCACAGCAACACTTACATCATCATATATGCTTTCACTCCTGTTCGTCCCTCAAGATCCACCTATGACCATAAAATTATTCGATATTGTTAGGCTCGTATCATTCACACCATAACATGTTAAATCATCCTTAATCATTTATTGTCATTATCATTCATAAACAAAAGCTTGTCATGGCCAACATCACAATTTTATCGTCAAAAGTGGCAACATAAAACTAGAGTATTATTCCAAACTTTAACTGCCTTTTTCATTTTTCTGTGTACCGTTATTAGATGTATTCACGGGGAAGCGCTAAACCCCGGAGGGAGAAGCTCAGAAAACAATGCGATTTACAGGGCATGTAAGTATCCTTGTCTTCTAATAACATGTTCATTTTTCCACTATAATCTATCTTGTCCATAATTACTATCGCGTTTGCTTTGTCTGTTTCGTATAGTAAAGTCTGATAATGGTCCAGGAAGAAGCGAAACGTCATCTAAGGTTACCTCTCCAACACGTGGGTTGTTTGTAAGTTGTTTCAGCCAAGGTTTTGTGTATTTCCGGGGGTGAGCAAAACTTTAGATCAAGATATTTCTATAACATTATCATTGAAAACCGTATTAGCTTTGTCAGTATTTATAACCAGACATTATATGAAGGTTACCAACGGGAAGATCAGATGTTATATGAAGGTTACCAACGGGATGATCAGAGGTTGTATGAAGGTTACCAACGGGATGATCAGAGGTTATATGAAGGTTACCAACGGGATGATCAGAGGTTATATGAAGGTTACCAACGGGATGATCAGATGTTATATGAAGGTTACCAACGGGAAGATCAGATGTTATATGAAGGTTACCAACGGGAAGATCAGATGTTATATGAAGGTTACCAACGGGAAGATCAGATGTTATATGAAGGTTACCAACGGGAAGATCAGATGTTATATGAAGGTTACCAACGGAAGTGAATGATCCAAGGAATGTTATATGAAGGTTACCAACGGGAAGATCAGATGTTATATGAAGGTTACCAACGGAAGATCAGATGTTATATGAAGGTTACCAACGGGAAGATCAGATGTTATATGAAGGTTACCAACGGGAAGATCAGATGTTATATGAAGGTTACCAACGGGAAGATCAGATGTTATATGAAGGTTACCAACGGGAAGATCAGATGTTATATGAAGGTTACCAACGGGAAGATCAGATGTTATATGAAGGTTACCAACGGGAAGATCAGATGTTATATGAAGGTTACCAACGGGAAGATCAGATGTTATATGAAGGTTACCAACGAGAAGATCAGATGTTATATGAAGGTTACCAACGGGAAGATCAGATGTTATATGAAGGTTACCAACGGAAGATCAGATGTTATATGAAGGTTACCAACGAGAAGATCAGATGTTATATGAAGGTTACCAACGAGAAGATCAGATGTTATATGAAGGTTACCAACGGGAAGATCAGATGTTATATGAAGGTTACCAACGGAAGATCAGATGTTATATGAAGGTTACCAACGGGAAGATCAGATGTTATATGAAGGTTACCAACGGGAAGATCAGATGTTATATGAAGGTTACCAACGGGAAGATCAGATGTTATATGAAGGTTACCAACGGGAAGATCAGATGTTATATGAAGGTTACCAACGGGAAGATCAGATGTTATATGAAGGTTACCAACGGGAAGATCAGATGTTATATGAAGGTTACCAACGAGAAGATCAGATGTTATATGAAGGTTACCAACGGGAAGATCAGATGTTATATGAAGGTTACCAACGGGAAGATCAGATGTTATATGAAGGTTACCAACGAGAAGATCAGATGTTATATGAAGGTTACCAACGGAAGATCAGATGTTATATGAAGGTTACCAACGGAAGATCAGATGTTATATGAAGGTTACCAACGGGAAGATCAGATGTTATATGAAGGTTACCAACGGGAAGATCAGATGTTATATGAAGGTTACCAACGGGAAGATCAGATGTTATATGAAGGTTACCAACGGGAAGATCAGATGTTATATGAAGGTTACCAACGGGAAGATCAGATGTTATATGAAGGTTACCAATCGATGGAAGGATCAGATGTTATATGAAGGTTACCAACGGAAGATCAGATGTTATATGAAGGTTACCAACGGGAAGATCAGATGTTATATGAAGGTTACCAACGGGAAGATCAGATGTTATATGAAGGTTACCAACGGGAAGATCAGATGTTATATGAAGGTTACCAACGGGAAGATCAGATGTTATATGAAGGTTACCAACGGGAAGATCAGATGTTATATGAAGGTTACCAACGGGAAGATCAGAGTTATATGAAGGTTACCAACGGGAAGATCAGATGTTATATGAAGGTTACCAACGGGAAGATCAGATGTTATATGAAGGTTACCAACGGGAAGATCAGATGTTATATGAAGGTTACCAACGGGAAGATCAGATGTTATATGAAGGTTACCAACGGGAAGATCAGATGTTATATGAAGGTTACCAACGGGAAGATCAGATGTTATATGAAGGTTACCAACGGGAAGATCAGATGTTATATGAAGGTTACCAACGGGAAGATCAGATGTTATATGAAGGTTACCAACGGGAAGATCAGATGTTATATGAAGGTTACCAACGGGAAGATCAGATGTTATATGAAGGTTACCAACGGGAAGATCAGATGTTATATGAAGGTTACCAACGGGAAGATCAGAGTTATATGAAGGTTACCAACGGGAAGATCAGATGTTATATGAAGGTTACCAACGGGAAGATCAGATGTTATATGAAGGTTACCAACGGGATGATCAGAGGTTGTATGAAGGTTACCAACGGGATGATCAGAGGTTGTATGAAGGTTACCAACGGGAAGATCAGATGTTATATGAAGGTTACCAACGGGATGATCAGAGGTTGTATGAAGGTTACCAACGGGAGATCAGATGTTATATGAAGGTTACCAACGGGAAGATCAGATGTTATATGAAGGTTACCAACGGGAAGATCAGATGTTATATGAAGGTTACCAACGGGAAGATCAGATGTTATATGAAGGTTACCAACGGGAAGATCAGATGTTATATGAAGGTTACCAACGGGAAGATCAGATGTTATATGAAGGTTACCAACGGGAAGATCAGATGTTATATGAAGGTTACCAACGGGAAGATCAGATGTTATATGAAGGTTACCAACGGGAAGATCAGATGTTTATATGAAGGTTACCAACGGGATAGATATGTTAATGAAGGTTACCAACGGAAGATCAGATGTTATATGAAGGTTACCAACGGGAAGATCAGATGTTATATGAAGTTTACCAACGGGATGATCAGAGGTTATTGTATGAAGGTTACCAACGAGAAGATCAGAGGTTATTGTATGAAGGTTACCAACAAGAAGATCAGAGGTTATTGTATGAAGGTTACCAACGGGATGATCAGAGGTTGTATGAAGGTTACCAACGGGAAGATCAGAGGTTATTGTATGAAGGTTACCAACGGGATGATCAGAGGTTGTATGAAGGTTACCAACGGGATGATCAGAGGTTGTATGAAGGTTACCAACGGGAAGATCAGAGGTTATTGTATGAAGGTTACCAACGGGATGATCAGAGGTTGTATGAAGGTTACCAACGGGATGATCAGAGGTTGTATGAAGGTTACCAACGGGATGATCAGAGGGTATTGTATGAAGGTTACCAACGGGATGATCAGAGATTATTGTATGAAGGTTACCAACGGGATGATCAGATATTATTGTATGAAGGTTACCAACGGGAAGATCAGAGGTTATTGTATGAAGGTTACCAACGGGAAGATCAGGGGCTATTGTATGAAGGTTACCAACGGGAAGATCAGAGGCTATTGTATGAAGGTTACCAACGGGAAGATCAGAGGCTATTGTATATGTACAAGTGCTTCGTAGCCTTAGAAATAAAACAAGCAGAGTTTTAGTAAAAAAAAAAAATAGGATTTTTTTTCTTGTTGATGGATTATATATTCACTTGAGTTAACGTGCTATGCAAATTTCTAATTTTGCAAGAAAGCGAATATCGCAGCCTCGCCTAATCTTGCTTAAATTTACGTATTAAGACATAAATTTATGATACTAAGCCTGTCTCAGTTCAACTTTAATCTAATTAGTATTAGCAAGTGAACAATGTTTTGCGATTTTCAAATTGATTTTCGTTCAGTTATAACAAAAATTAGATTACTCGGCTTGTTTGGCCAAACCTTGCTTTGTAAGGCAAGCTACAAGGTCTGGTTAAAAGAGCGACGTAAGTGAGTTTTACTGAGAAATGTGATCCACATACATTGTGTCAATAACGTATCACAAGGAAGAAAGCGTACCCATGCAATTATGTTTACATGTATTAAAATGTGAAGCTTCGGAAATTTTGTTACCTAGCTAGTGATGTTAGTTTTTTTTTTTTTTACTTCAAGAAGCAACACAGTTTGTAGGCATCTCCCGACAGTGTATACCTGGAGGGGGTTTCTTGGGTCAGCGCCCCAGCGACCCGGTCTGTGACCAGGCCTCTCTTTTCATGCTCCTCTAAAGGTTTACGGAAGATAACATTAAAACGATTGTTCAGTTGGGCTTCGCACTTTCAGCGTCGGTGTTAGGTTGTTGTGGCGCTGTGTAAGTACCAATTTGCCAATTTTATGCATACAAATAGGGCAGCAGTTTTCAGACAATAAATTGAGAACTCCTCTGATCCTTTTCACTCTTTTAAGTTTCAGCGTAGATGTTTCCAGCTCAGAAGGTTTGGATTGTTATTGTTATTTGCCAGTTTTGTGGCACTTTTCTTTCTGCAATAAATTGAGAAGTCCTCGTATGATCGCCGTCGAACTTTCATTGCTGGTGGTATTTTCCCTCATAAAAGATTCGTGTAAATCCCAATTTGTCAGTTTAGTTCAGATTGTGTTGTATGACCCTAGTGGGTTTATCGCTTGGTTTTGATTATAATAATTCGAGTTATTATATTGATTTCTTTGTGATTAGCTTTAAAAGTCATGGATAATGTATCTTGGAGAGCGATTCCCATTGCTCTTGAGCTGTGTAGGTGCCAGTTTGCATGTTTTTAAAATATGATAACCTTACAATGCCATTACTGATCGGCTTCAAACCTTCAATGCGGATGTACGTTACTTAGTGGAAGGTTCAGATTATTATAGTTCCTGTCACTCTTAAAGGTGTTGGACTTTTTGTGAGTGTTGAGATAAAGGCAGTTTCTAGACTTCTTGAGTTGAACTAAAACTCCTGGGCCTCTTCAAGGTGATATATTTCTGGGAGAGTGACCCACGGGGTATGAGCCCGTGTTTGTTTGCAACCGTGTCATTACGATTTCGTGAGTCATGAAGTTATGCAAATTGTTTAGAGAGGTTTGCAATACGCCTACATTATGATGCTGTATTAGTTTTGGTGCAAAATAAATAACTGGCAAATTCAAAATTTGCAAAACTTTAGTGAAATATTTTCCTTGTAGGACAAATTTTCATAACACTCAACTGTTTTCGTTTTCTAGTGACAACATCCAGAGTGATAATACTGTGCATCACACTGCTCTCTTTCTCACCATCCACTCCGCATTTACCATTCTTTATCAATCTGTCACATCACTCGCATCACATTTATCATACATTCCTATCAATCACTCGGTCTATAGTTCGCTTTAGTCTCATTATTCCCACCACTTTCACTGTACATAAACTCCTGCAATTCACTCAAATCACTGAACATTTCAGTGATCAACTTGGCTCAAGTCACAGGTGTGTCTGTGAAAATTATTTGTCTATTTATGTTAAATGTGTGTGAAAATGCAATGTGTAATCGCATTTATTTTGGGTTGATGGCTGTTAATTACGGCAAATAGTTTATATATAAAAGTATAAATACAAAAATATTTGGAGATGATGTTGGTAGGTTTTGTATTTGTGGTGACTAATTTTCCTCTCCAATGTACAGTTTTTTAAGAATAAACGAAAATATAAATTGAACTGCAGTGTTATTTTCTCACGCTACTGTTTTTGTGGAAATAATAATAATAATAATAATAATAATCATCATCATCTTAATCGGGAGATATCTCTCGGTTTATTTACATTGAGCTTATTTTAATTTCTATTTCAGGGATTAGGGTCCCTTCAAGGGAGGTTCCTAGGAGCCGGTGAGGGGCTCTTGATTCAAGGAATTGGACCTGCCCCCCCCCTTCCTTGGATCAAACCTAAATGTTTCCCAGTCCTTCCAGGTGCTACATAACGAAAGTTCGTGGCAAATTAAATGTTAATTTAACTCCATTGTTTGCGTATCTTCTCTTTGGTGATTGGAATAACAATAATGTTTATTTCTACAAGTACATGAAACAACTTAAGTTGTACCTGTATACAACATCCGGGCACACTGTGTAAATTATCCTTGTTATATCATGGCTGCGGGTTCCTTCCATGGTTTAAAACCGAAGACGGACTATCATTGTATCTTGATATATGATGTGGCCTGGTGACCTGGTGGCTAAAGCTCTCCCTTCACACACGGAGGGCCCGGGTTCGATTCCCGGCGGGTGGAAACATTTCGACGAGTTTCCTTACACCTGTTGTCCTGTTCACCTAGCAGCAAATAGGTACCTGGGTGTTAGTCGACTGGTGTGGGTCGCATCCTGGGGGACAAGATTGTGGACCCCAGTGGAAATAAGTTGCAGTCCTCGATGACGCACTGACTTTCCTGGGTTATCCTGGGTGGCTAACCCTCCGGGGTTAAAAATCCGAACGAAATTTAATCTTATCTTACTGCCAACAGAGCGTAGGCGTGAGAAGTTCTCTACCTGGTCGGTGTAATTCACATTGTTAATGGGCATTCCACATTTTTAATGTGCGGACAAAACCCCTCGCCAGAATCAAGATGCCTTCCGTGAGGGGGAGTTACAGTTAATAAAATTAACTTGGTAGCCATCATATTTTAAGTTTCGAACTAGGAACGCTCAAATATAGGTATCAGTCAATGAGAACTCGTGGTACGATGACACGTGTATATCAGTTACTAAGAACTCGCATAACAAGATGACACGTGTATATAAGCCAATAAATCACATAGCAAGACGACACGTACATGTCAGCCAATAAGAACTAACATAGCAAGATAACACGTGTATATCAGCCAGTGAGAACTCGCTCATTCAGTGACTGCAAACAAAGTTGATTTCTCCACCAAGAAAACATTTATAATTACAGTTCTGAAAATAGAAAGAATATAATATACAAGGGAAATATGATTTGGAAAAAGTTTTTAATTACTGTAGGTGTTAACGACACAGTTATTAATTCGTGTTGTGGAAACATTGGTGGGGAGGAACTGGGTTCAAGTATTCAGTGTTGTGGAAACATTGGTGGGGGAAGGAACGCCGGGCTCAAGTATTCAGTCCCCTCAAGGAAGGTTCCTTGATGTTGGTGAGGGGCTCTTGATTTAGGGAATTGGATCTGTGCTCCAGTTCCCCAAATTAAGCCTGAATGCCTTCCACATACCCCCCAGGCGCTGTATAATCCTCCGGGTTTAGCGCTTCCCCCTTGATTGTAATAATAATAATCAAGTATTCAGTATATCATATCTTTTAAGATGTGATATGCTATCGTTAATACGCTTAAGTTACTGAGAAAGCCTGAAATAACTCGTGTTAGTCGCTAAACCCATGTGGATCATTCAGTACAAGACGTGGCGGAGGCTTGATCCTCCGCGCCAGACACTCTTCCTATTTGTACTCTCCCAGCTTGAGCTGTACTCCCTGGAACGTAAACGAGAAAGATGTATTATAATGTGTACCTGCAAAATCCCCCCCCCCCCAGTGAAAAACGTGTGTGGTGAATATACTAAGAGAAAGTCTTTCATACATAGTGGCTTATCAACATACCCTTGGCTGTCTTCAAGAGCGAGCTAGATAAGTTGTAGTCAGTTCTTGATCAGCCGGGTTGTAGTGCCGACGTTGGTCTACTTGCTGCTAACACCAACAGCCTTAACTGATCAGCACACAAATAACCCGTTTCGGTCCCACTTGGACTACTAAAGAATCTCATAGAAGCGTGAAGGGAAGGGGTCAAAATACCAGAGGGAGGCGCCCTGGCCTGGGACCAGGCGATGACACGGAATTAGTTCATGAACATTCAGACTGCTATCGCTGCAGGACGTGTATACCTAGATAAGATACGACTCAAAGAATGTTATGATAGATGAGTATGGTTTGTTTTTTTGTTCCAATGTGTAATACATGCTACGTGGTTAAGTGTCGTTAATACAAGCAAATCCGATGATCTCGTTCCGCATTCAACAACTATTCCTGTCAACTTTATGAGGCGCTTTTGAACAGCATGTAACAAGCATTCAGTATCTCTACGTATTATCTTAAACTGGTTGATAGTCGTCTCGTGCTGGCAGACCAAGACGGCCCTATGTTATATACTTATCATTTGATAATACATAAATCGAATATCCCCGAAAGAGCTCAGTAAGTAGTGGTCGCTGAACTTCTTCCTCCAAGGTTTACATATACTATAACTTGAGAACGCTTCGCCTGATCATCTTAAAATTTCAACGCTGGTGTGTTGTGACAAGGGGAAGGTAATGATGCTGTTATCGTACTGTTATCATACTCTCGAAATAATTTACTCTTCTATAAATAGGGGAAAGGTTCATAATGCTTTTGACACTTCCAGGTGGTGCCCTCTGGGCATTTCCGTATAACATTCCCGATTTTTGTTTGTATTATCCCGGAGGGTTAGTAACCCTGGATAACCCAGTAAAGTCACGATGTCATCTAGGACTGCCTGTCTTTTCATTGCAGTCCTTTAATCCTCTCCCTTGGGATGCGACCCACAGCAGTCCAGGTACATACTTGCTGCTAGGTCTTAGGCAAATTGCCCAAATGGGGTAAAAATGAAAATCTCAGGGGCATTGAAGACTCAATAAACGTAAATAAAAGTGCACAAATTTATTATTTAATAAGCGAGGCAAATTACGAAAGTTACATTTTTTCAAACAAATATTTAGTTTCTTAATAAAATTAGAAATCAATTTGTAGAGACCCTTTCTTAAGTTGACAATAATGTAAAACTGATAAGGATGCCAGCGGCTGGCAACACCGCGAGTTGCAGCACTGACTCAGGAAACAAACCATACCACGGGTTAGAACCCGCGATCAGTCTCAAAACTCCAGACCGTCGCGTTAGCCACTGGGTCAGCTAGTCACACTAAGATTCATCTAATAGTGTCATTACGATTTCGTGAGTCAGACTCAGGAGCCGGTACGATAACCACATGTCCCAATGTTGACACTATCCTCACGTAACTTTTGTCCCGATGTCCTATCTCGTTATCAGTAATTTCTACTCGAGGACCAAGATAAGGTAATGCTTTGTAATTGGTCGGCTAGGGGGACTACCACATCCACCACTAGAACCATAAATATACAGCCATCATTACACAAGACAGCCCACATTACGGATGTAGAGGAGGAGGATTAGTCTTCTTGGGAAAGTGCTAGTTCCTTGGAAGCAGGAAGGGATGGCTCTGGCTTGGCTACCGAAGATTGTAGTGCAGTCCTAGAAACTTCACAAATTTACGGATGAAAGGACAAAAGGAGACTTGGTACATCCTTATTGGACAAGTTTCAGTCCTGGGACCTTGTTCACCCCAACTTAGTGACCAAGGTCCCAGGACTGAAACTTGTCCAATAAAGATGTATTACCTTCTACCTACACACCTTTACGTAGCTTGAAATACATTTTCGGTTGTATTGAAAGCAAAATTTGCTTAAAATGTTATATAAGCTAATAAGTTATTTGGCCAAATGAATGGAAATTATTATTACATGTGCGGTCGCAGATATTGGTACAAGTCAAGAAGTCGCAGATACATTTAACGTGTATTGGTTTGAAAAGAAGTTTAAAATTAATTTATTGCATGTATACTAACCAAAAAACAAGCGAATTTTGTAATAAAAAGTTCTTGAAACCTCGAAGTACTGCATCAATACTGAAAATATCGTGACTGCCTGTAGACGTGATTTCAATGAGGGGTTTCTTGAAGCTGGTGAAATGCTCTTGAACGAACTGCTCTTCCCACCCTCGTATCAAATTGTATTATTCCTTCCCGCCATCATTCCACAGGTGCTGTATATGCCATTACTGGTTTAATGCCCCCCGCCTTTCAATAATTTGGATGAACACTTCACTGGGGGGCATATTTTTATTGGTTTTAATAAAACTGATATTACCTGAAAGTTTGTTACAGGTATATTTATTAGATGATAAAATGTTGAGAGAAAATCTTACGGTTTTCTGATGTCGATCTGTACTAGAATATTTGGAGCAAAAAAGTACAATGAAGAAACTGAGAAAGGTAAGTTAAAAGATACGTACCTACATATTTTATTACAACCCCCATCCACTCTCATTGGTCACTACTAGATACACCCTTCTAGTACCCTTTGTCCCCAGAGTAGACTGACTTCCTGTTATTTGTTATTTATGGACTCTACAAGCTGTGTATGCAAAATAACCTCAGTGAATAAATGGTGAAACATGAGGCGGTTCCGTGATTTCTCGCATTATCGAAGAATAATATAAAATAATAAGACAACAGGGGAAGTGGAACAGAATTCTTCCTCCGTAAACCATGCGTGTTGTAAGAGGCGACTAAAATGCCAGGAACAAGGGGCTAATAACCCCTTCTCCCGTATATATTACTAAATGTAAAAGGAGAAACTTTCGTTTTTCCTTTTGGGCCACCCTGCCTCGGTGGGATACGGCCGGTGTGTTGAAAGAAAGAAAAGGCAATAGAAGGCTTATGAAAGCTAAAAACATGACCTCATATGACCTCACTTATGACCCTACTCACTGATCATGGGAGTGTAATGAAGATTTATTTAGGTAAATTTTTTTTTAAGAATAACATGCCAGGGATAGTTTAAAATCCTCTCAAATATTATTCATTATAAATTAACTTATTCAGTCAAGCACTTATATTCATACTGCAATTAATACTACTATCTTGTGAAACGTGATTCAATTATTTCTCTTAAGTATGGACCTGCTTGATACTCTTCTTGGCTTTTTCAAACTGTTGCGTGCTTAAAAAAACTCTCTCTAGCATCAGTAAGCAGAGCATTAAACTCTTGTCCAGTTATGATATATTTGTTATTGTAATCTTAATTACTTCTTTTTTTCTAGTTTAACCAAAATAAACTTTATTGCATTTCTTAATGAAATCTTTTAGACAGCCATCAGCCATTATAATACACTCATCAGTGGGTATAGATTGTATATAAAATACTCATTTGTAAAGGTTTTCGGTATTATGCTTCACAAGCATTTTTACTAAGGTTCTCTGCTCGTACTCGCCAGTTATTGTATCAATGTGGGTTGTGACACTGACCTATGTTTATTAAACTTTTGTGTTCATAGTGCCAGAAAAACTAGTCATTTTTCATACATAAACACTAATTTCAGGTCGAAGGAGACTCGAACCTCGGAACAAGGTACGCAGTGTTCTACTCACCGTACCACACTGGTCCAGTATGTTGGCGTCCAGCTAACGTTAGACGTTTTGGTCCAAGGTAGGTGGTCGATGCATGCAGGGGATGAGATGAAACACTTGAACCACCTGCCTGAAGGCTGGCTGCCTTGGACCAAAACGTCTAGCGTTAGCTGGGCGCCAAGGTACTAAACCAGTGTGGTACAGTGAGTTCAGCACTGCGCACCTTGTTCCGAGATTCATAGGTTCGAGTCTCCTTCGACCTGAAATTAGTGTTTGTGTGTATGTTTTATATATATATATATATATATATATATATATATATATATATATATATATATATATATATATATATATATATATATATATATATATATATATTTTTCAACAAGTCGGCCGTTTCCACCGAGGCAGGGTGACCCAAAAAAAAAAAAAGAAAGAAAATCCCCAAAAAGAAAATACTTTCATCATCATTCAACACTTTCACCACACTCGCACATTATCACTGTTTTTGCAGAGGTGCTCAGAATACAACAGTCCAGAAGCATACACATATAAAGACACACAACATATCCCTCCAAACTGCCAATATCCCAAACCCCTCCTTTAAAGTGCAGGCATTGTACTTCCCATTTCCAGGACTCAAGTCCGACTATATGAAAATAACCGGTTTCCCTGAATCCCTTCACTAAATATTACCCTGCTCACACTCCAACAGATCGTCAGGTCCCAAGTACCATTCGTCTCCATTCACTCCTATCTAAACACGCTCACGCACGCTTGCTGGAAGTCCAAGCCCCTTGCCCACAAAACCTCCTTTACCCCCTCTCTCCAACCCTTTCGAGGACGACCCCTACCCCGCCTTCCTTCCCCTATAGATTTATATACTTTCCATGTCATTCTACTTTGATCCATTCTCTCTAAATGACCAAACCACCTCAACCCCTCTTCTGCCCTCTGACTAATACTTTTATTAACTCCACACCTTCTCCTAATTTCCACACTCCGAATTTTCTGCATAATATTTACACCACACATTGCCCTTAAACAGGACATCTCCACTGCTTCCAACCGTCTCCTCGCTGCTGCATTTACCACCCAAGCTTCACACCCATATAAGAGTGTTGGTACTACTATACTTTCATACATTCCCTTCTTTGCCTCCATAGATAACGTTTTTTGACTCCACATATACCTCAACGCACCACTCACCTTTTTTCCCTCATCAATTCTATGATTAACCTCATCCTTCATAAATCCATCCGCCGACACGTCAACTCCCAAGTATCTGAAAACATTCACTTCTTCCATACTCCTCCTCCCCAATTTGATATCCAATTTTTCTTTATCTAAATCATTTGACACCCTCATCACCTTACTCTTTTCTATGTTCACTTTCAACTTTCTACCTTTACACACATTCCCAAACTCATCCACTAACCTTTGCACTTTTTCTTTAGAATCTCCCATAAGCACAGTATCATCAGCAAAAAGTAACTGTGTCAATTCCCATTTTGAATTTGATTCCCAAAATTTAATCCCACCCCTCTCCCGAACACCCTAGCATTTACTTCCTTTACAACCCCATCTATAAATATATTAAACAACCATGGTGACATTACACATCCCTGTCTAAGACCTACTTTTACCGGGAAGTAGTCTCCCTCTCTTCTACACACCCTAACCTGAGCCTCACTATCCTCATAAAAACTCTTTACAGCATTTAATAACTTACCACCTATTCCATATACTTGCAACATCTGCCACATTGCTCCTCTATCCACTCTATCATATGCCTTTTCTAAATCCATAAATGCAATAAAAACTTCCCTACCTTTATCTAAATACTGTTCACATATATGCTTCAATGTAAACACTTGATCTACACATCCCCTACCCACTCTGAAACCTCCTTGCTCATCCGCAATTCTCCATTCTGTCTTACCTCTAATTCTTTCAATTATAACCCTACCGTACACTTTTCCTGGTATACTCAGTAAGCTTATTCCTCTATAATTTTTACAGTCTCTTTTGTCCCCTTTCCCTTTATATAAAGGGACTATACATGCTCTCCGCCAATCCCTAGGTACCTTCCCCTCTTTCATACATTTATTAAACAGAAGTACCAACCACTCCAACACTATATCCCCCCCTGCTTTTAACATTTGTCATGATCCCATCAGTTCCAGCTGCTTTACCCCCTTTCATTTTACGTAATGCCTCACGTACCTCCCCCACACTTACATTCTGCTCTTCTTCACTCCTAAAAGATGGTATACCTCCCTGACCAGTGCATGAAATTACTGCCTCTGTTTCTTCCTTAACATTTAAAAGTTCCTCAAAATATTCTCGCCATCTACCTAATACCTCCATCTCCCCATCTACTAACTCCCCTACTCTGTTTTTAACTGACAAATCCATATTTTCCCTAGGCTTTCTTAACTTGTTTAACTCACTCCAAAATTTTTTCTTATTTTCATTAAAATTTCTTGACAGTGCCTCTCCCACTCTATCATCTGCTCTCCTTTTGCACTCTCTCACCACTCTCTTTACCTTTCTTTTACTCTCCATATACTCTGCTCTTCTTATAACACTTCTGCTTTGTAAAAACCTCTCATAAGCTACCTTTTTCTCTTTTATCACACCCTTTACCTCATCATTCCACCAATCACTCCTCTTTCCTCCTGCCCCCACCCTCCTATAACCACAAACTTCTGCCCCACATTCTAATACTGCATTTTTAAAACTATTCCAACCCTCTTCAACCCCCCCACTACTCATCTTTGCACTAGCCCACCTTTCTGCCAATAGTCGCTTATATCTCACCCGAACTTCCTCCTCCCTTAGTTTATACACTTTCACCTCCCTCTTACTTGTTGTTGCCACCTTCCTCTTTTCCCATCTACCTCTTACTCTAACTGTAGCTACAACTAAATAATGATCCGATATATCAGTTGCCCCTCTATAAACATGTACATCCTGGAGCCTACCCATCAACCTTTTATCCACCAATACATAATCTAATAAACTACTTTCATTACGTGCTACATCATACCTTGTATATTTATTTATCCTCTTTTTCATAAAATATGTATTACTTATTACCAAATTTCTTTCTACACATAGCTCAATTAAAGGCTCCCCATTTACATTTACCCCTGGCACCCCAAATTTACCTACTACTCCCTCCATAACATTTTTACCCACTTTAGCATTGAAATCCCCAACCACCATTACTCTCACACTTGATTCAAAACTCCCCACGCATTCACTCACATTTCCCAAAATCTCTCTCTCTCCTCTACACTTTCTCTTTCCAGTGCTACCACGCTTATTATAATCCCTTTTCACATCCAATTTTATTTACTTCACAAATCCTTGATTAATACATTTCATTAGTCCCTCTTTTTCCCTGCCCATAGCTTATCCTTCATAACCATTTGCTACATCCATTCTTTACTCTACTCCATTTGAAACCTCTGACCATAATCCACATTATATCTCTTTCCACTGCAAACTCTCCCTCCCTTCAGACATATTGTACTCACTTTTTATCATATACTTATTATATTATATCATTTATATATATATTATATATTTTATATTATATATATTATATTATATATATATATATATATATATTATTTATATATTATATTATATATTATATTTATATATTATTATATATATATATATATATATATATATATATATATATTATATATTATATATATATTATATATATTATATTATATATATATATTATATATATATATATATTATATATAATTATATTATATATATATTATATATATATTATATAATATATATATAATATATATATTATATTTATATAATATTATATATATATATATATAATATATATATATATATATATATATATATATATATATATATATATATATATATATATATATATATATATATATATATATATATATAATATATATATATATATATATATATATAATATATATATATATATATATATATATATATATATATATATATATATATTATTATATATATATTAAAATATATATATATATTATTGTATCCACGAAACGAGTGGTACTGATCAATAACAACACAGCACCAGCCAAGGAGTCGAACCCATGCTGTTTTGGCCCGCCTCATGGTGAGCGAAAACGTATGACGCTTTAGACGACTAAATAACAATCATTAACAATGGCGCATCCAGCCAAGCTAGATGCTGTACCCGCCATCGAAGGACATACGGTGGTGTGGACGCCTCTGAGCTGATTTTATTCTACTCCGTTTTTGTACTAATATACTGCTTGTTGAGCAGTATGAGTACAACGTCTAGCTTGGCTGGATGCGCCATTGTTAATGATTGTGTTATTTAGTCGTCTAAAGCGTCATGCGTTTTCTCTCGCCATGAGGCGGACCAAAACAGCATGGGTTCGACTCCTTGGCTAGTGCAATGTTTTATTATATATATATATATATATATATATATATATATATATATATATATATATATATATATATATATATATATATATATATGCAAAACAACCACTCTGAAAGAATAGAGAAATTCCAAGCGCTTTCGTGACTACTCCTTGATAATGTGAGTAGTCACGAAAGCGCTTGGAATTAATCTATTCTTTCAGAGTGGTTGTTTTGCATATTTTGAAATCACCTGTTTACTGTGATCTTATTGCATATATATATATATATATATATATATATATATATATATATATATATATATATATATATATATATATATATATCTATATATATATATATATATATATATCTATATATATATATATATATATATATATATATATATATATATATATATATATATATATATATATATATATATATATATTATGTATATAATTGACAACTTTATACCTATATAAAATTGTCAATTATTAATATATTGCAATTCTAGGACACATAAGGTGAAACTTTCTTTTTGAATGGGGTGGACGGCCTAGCTGATGAATTTCGATGGGTGGTTAATTACCGGTATTTAGCTAAAATGATTTGCTACCAATTCGAGTTTCTGTGGAACAGGTATTGACCTTGTGTGTGACACTGGCTATATTCTGCTACTGGAAGTTTCGTCCTGACCCCTTCATCTCCCCTTCAGTTCTCCACGCCCTGCAGTATCAACTCCGGTGAGTGACTCTCTTCACTATCAGCAGCGGTATTGTTTTCCTCACCCCCCCCCCCTCCTTTGTATCATCGTTACCTAACCTACCTGCAAGTCTTAGTAACACTGGCGTATGGTTAACTACTATATTCATGGGGAAGTGCTAAACCCTATAAGGATCATACTATAGAGAGTTTGCGAAATGTTCGGGAAGGGTGGGGGGGGGGGGGGAATTGTCTGATCAAAGTAATGGAAGATAGCTCCAATTCCTTGGAGCAAGAGCCCTTCTAGCATGAATGTGCCTTATCCTTCCTTGAAAGGTCTGGTTATTCAAAGTATTTCTGGTCTTTTAATTTTTTTTTAACTATGCATGTTATGCCACTGCATTGGGTCGATGAGACAGAATTTAGAACTCGTTGTAAATGTATAGTACCGTTGATGGCATGTTGTATATTGTTTTTTCCCTCATTACTAAAATCTTAATTTCAGAACAAACCCACAAACAGGTAATAAAAAAGTAAACATTTCAATGTTCTCAACCATTGTCAAATCTCTTCTAGTTTCCATTTCCAGTTTGTGGTTTATGAATTGTTGCAGCCACTGTATTCTTAGCTATTTTTACTAATCTTATGAAATGTAGTTGTATTATGAAATCAAACCTCTCGAGGGAGGTTCCTTGATGCCATTGAGGAGGTCTTATCCACCCCTTCCTTGAACCGAACGTCATTAAGATATTAGATTTTGTTCGGATTTTTAACCCCGAAGGGGTTAAAAATCCAAGACAGGCGATGCGCCATCGAGGGACTCTCTCTTATTTCCATTGGGGTCCTCAATCTTGTCCCCCAGGATGCGACCCACACCAGTCCACTAACACCCAGGTACCTACTTGCTAGATGAGCAGGACAACAGGTATAAGGAAACGCGTCTAATGTTTTCACCCTTGTCGGGGATCGAACCCGGACACTCATTCTCCAGGTTGTGTCACTGCGGATTTAGCACTTACACAAATGTAATAATGAAAAAACAAAATATGAAATTGATGCTGTTGTATATTAAATTAGTCATCAGATGGAGAAACGAGACAACTTTACAATACCTCTTGAAGATCAATTGACGAAGGAGATGATGATGCCCTTGGAATTTGCTAAGGAGCCCCACCTTGATCCTCGTCAAGCAAGTGATACCAATTTAAAGAAAATTCTCATGTGGAATGAGGTAAGGGTTAAATTGAAGCATATTATCTACTTCTGATTATTAATTGGAAGACTATTATTATTATTATTATTATTATATGCACAAGACTTTATTACCCTGTATGTATTATTTTTTCACACACATAGTAAACCCACATAGATCATATAGTGCCATAAGATTATTATATTCAGTGAAGGTGGGACACCACAAGAATAGCTGCTTCTGTAGCTACCAAGAGGTAATTATAAAAAAAAAACAGTAACAGCATATGGTTAAATATTTATTGTGAAATATTGTATTACCCTTAACAGATACTTAAATTTTTATTGGAATGATCATGTATAATTTAACCTGAAGCAAGAAGACTGTTGCTGGCGATGTAAAAAATATTGATTAGCTCTGTAACCCAAATTCCCTGCTACACATATATGAGGATGGCAAAACCGTAAGGGTCATACAGCACTTCTAGAATGGACGGTTATTGTGTTGGATCAAAGGGATGAAGGAGAGCTTTAATTCCTTGGATCAAGAGCTTTTCACGAGTATGGAGGCCCTTTTCCCTCTTCAGTTTGTGTACAGTATACAACCATTCAGCATTACAGCATTCTTACTCTTCAATATACGTATTTCTAAACATTGCTCTGACCAGTCATAAGTAAAGAAAATTTGAGGGTTTCATTGAAAAAGCTTTCATTCATGTTTTATAGTATTGTTCATGCAAAAAGTGTGATCATTCTTGCAGTTTTATGGTATGACGCACATGGAGGTGGGGCTGGGCCAGGAGCCCTTCATAAGAGCTGGCTGCCCCATCAATACTTGCTGGCTTAGTGCTAACAGGAGCCTCTTCAAGTACACCGAGTTGGATGCTGTCATCTGGTATGCTGGCAGTTCAGACACTTCATTCCCGGAGTATAGGTAAGACATAAGCAAGGGCAATCATAGCTGGTTTGCATGGCTGTGCAAAAAAGGGGCAAGAAGGCTTAAGATAGGTGGTCGGTTGGTTTATTAGGTCTAAATTATATGTAGATTGCATGAGGGGTCATTAAGTCTACCTGTATATTACTTGTACATCACCAATCAGGAATGCTTTAATCAATAAAATAGGAAGTAAAGTAATCCCAGTGTAAGTAGGTGAGTATATAATATATACATATATACTCACCTAGCTGTATTCGCCTAGTTGCGGTTGCAGGGGTCGAGTCACAGCTCCTGCCCCCGCCTCTTCGCTGGTCGCTACTAGGTGTGTGTGTGTACTCACCTAATTGTGGTTGCAGGGGTCGATTCATAGCTCCTGGCCCCGCCTCTTCATTGATCCCTACATGTGTGTGTACTCACCTAGTTGAGGTTGCAGGGGTCGAGTCCAAGCTCCTGGCCCCGCCTCTTCACTGGTCGCTACTAGGTCACTGTCCCTGAACCGTGAGCTTAATCATACCTCTGATTAAAGCTATGTATGGATCCTGCCTCCACTACATCGCTTCCCAAACTATTCCACTTCCTGACTACTCTGTGGCTGAAGAAATACTTCCTAACATCCCTGTGATTCATCTGTGTCTTCAACTTCCAACTGTGTTCCCTTGTTGCTGTGTCCCATCTCTGGAACATCCTGTCTTTGTCCACCTTGTCAATTCCTCTCAGTATTTTGTATGTCGTTATCATGTCCCCCCTATCTCTCCTGTCCTCCAGTGTCGTCAGGTTGATTTCCCTTAACCTCTCCTAGTCTTGTTGCAAACCTTTGCACTTTCTCTAGTTTCTTTACGTGCTTGGCTAAGTGTGGGTTCCAAACTGGTGCCGCATATTCCAATATGGGCCTAACGTACACGGTGTACAGGGTCCTGAACGATTCCTTATTAAGATGTCGGAATGCTGTTCTGAGGTTTGCTAGGCGCCCATATGCTGCAGCAGTTATTTGGTTGATGAGCGCTTCAGGAGATGTGCCTGGTGTTATACTCACCCCAAGATCTTTTTCCTTGAGCGAGGTTTGTAGTCTCTGGCCCCCCTAGACTGTACTCCGTCTGCGGTCTTCTTTGCCCTTCCCCAATCTTCATGACTTTGCACTTGGTGGGGTTGAACTCCAGGAGCCAATTGCTGTACCAGGTCTGCAGCCTGTCCAGATCCCTTTGTAGTTCTGCCTGGTCTTCGATCGAATGAATTTTTCTCATCAGCTTCACGTCATCTGCAAACAGGGACACTTCGGAGTCTATTCCTTCCGTCATGTCGTTCACAAATACCAGAAATAGCACTGGTCCTAGGACTGACCCCTGTGGGACCCCGCTGGTCACAGGTGCCCACTCTGACACCTCGCCACGTACCATGACTCGCTGCTGTCTTCCTGACAAGTATTCCCTGATCCATTGTAGTACCTTCCCTGTTATCCCTGCTTGGTCCTCCAGTTTTTGCACTAATCTCTTGTGTGGAACTTTGTCAAACGCCTTCTTGCAGTCCAAGAAAATGCAATCTACCCACCCCTCTCTCTCTTGTCTTACTGCTGTCACCATGCCATAGAACTCCAGTAGGTTTGTGACACAGGATTTCCCGTCCCTGAAACCATGTTGGCTGCTGTTGATGAGATCATTCCTTTCTAGGTGTTCCACCACTCTTCCCCTGATAATCTTCTCCATGACTTTGCATACTATACATGTCAGTGACACTCGCTGGTCTGTAGTTTAGTGCTTCATGTCTGTCTCCTTTTTTAAAGATTGGGACTACATTTGCTGTCTTCCATGCCTCAGGCAATCTCCCTGTTTCGATAGATGTATTGAATATTGTTGTTAGGGGTACACATAGCGCCTCTGTGTGTGTGTGTGTGTGTGTGTGTGTGTACTCACCTATTTGTACTCACCTATTTGTGGTTGCAGGGGTCGAGTCACAGCTCCTGGCCCCGCCTCTTCGCTGATTGCTACTAGGTCCTCTCTCTCCCTGCCCCATGAGCTCTATCATACCTCGCCTTAAAACTATGTATGGTTCCTGCCTCCACCACATCACTTTCTAGGCTATTCCATGGCCTGACTACTCTATGACTGAAGAAATACTTCCTAACATCCCTTTGATTCATCTGAGTCTTCAACTTCCAATTGTGACCTCTTGTGTCTGTGTCCCATCTCTGGAACATCCCGTCTTTGTCCACCTCGTCTATTCCGCGCAGTGTGTGTGTGTGTGTGTGTGTGTGTGTGTGTGTGTGTGTGTGTGTGTGTGTGTGTGTGTGTGTGTGTGTGTGTGTGTGTGTGTGTGTGTGTGTACACGTGTACTCTTCACAAGCTGTAAAGTTTTGTACAGGATTATAATCAGCACCAGATGAATTTATTTAACAATTTTAATCAGAACATCTTGATTTTAAAATATGATTGCTACTGACATCACAGATGTATGGTATTACAAAGATAACGATAAAATTATGTATAGCATGTTTTCATAACAGGGAAAAAATGGAAGTTTTAACAGATACGTCTGACATGTTTTGGTCACCAGGATGACATATTCAGGCTTCCTGAGCATGCCATCCTGGTGACTAAAACATGTCGTTGACGTTAGCTGGACGACACCTTGATGAGGAAAAATGGCATTTTGAGAGATAGTAATAATCATTTTTAGTAACTAACTTTAGGCATCTATTATAATCCCCCCCCCCCCAAAAAAAAAAAATCACATTAAATAAACTATACTTACAGGTCGCCACATACCCGCTACATATTCTTCCTGTTGGAGCCTCCAGGGATATTGCAGCAGCTTTGGATAAGCTTGCCACCATATACTAATATCTTCAACTGGACACTCACCTACAGATTAGACTCAGACATTCCCATACCGTAGGTCACCCACTGCTTATCACCGAATTATCTTTGGTATTGTGCTATAAAAAATGTTCAGAGTGAATAATCCTTCAAGAGGGAGTATTTTGATGTTGTAAAAGGATCTTCATCCAGGAAATTGGACCTATCCTCCTCCCTTGGCTCTGGCCTGATTTCCTCCCTTTCCTAAAGAGCTGTGTAACCTCTACATGTTTAGTGCTTCTTCATGAATAATAAGTGAATAAAAAATTAAACTTGCAATTTGACAAAATTCTATTATAAATAATTTATGAACAGTAGACTTGCTCCAGAAATTCTGAAGGTTATAAAGAGATTGTAGAGCTTTGGTCCTTGTATCTACTGAAACAAAATTATTGCAGAATCTTTAGTGCTAGCTGGGATTGTACAGCAAGGTTATTGACCATTTGATCAAAAATGAATAATTTCATTGAACTGTGAATTGGTAAGAAATCATTTTTTGATTCATTTTCATACCTAATCTTTATAAGAAATTAATCTTGGTTATTCTGGTATTTTTTTTCACATCGCATTACTGGTATACTATAATTTGAGGAGTCTAAATGCAAGACTAATTATTATCTGGGTTTACCTGGGGTAAACTCCAGAGATGTGTATCAAGCATATCATCCTCAAATGGTTATTCCTTCATAGCATTTTCCTATCTTGACTTCCTGTTAGAGACATTAAACATAATGCAGGTGTCTCACTGTTCCTGGACAGAGAATGAAACTGTCACCCTAATTTTTAAAGGGGTGGGCCGGTAAGCCAGCAGAAGGCCTCAGCCAGATGACCAAAAACTCCACTGGCGGGTCATCATATGACTAAGACCTGCATCAGGAAAGTCTTGTCCTGTCTCCTGATGACCCTCTATCACTCTTAACACTAAATGGCCCACATGGGTTTAGCAATACATATGAAGTATAGGTTATACTGTAATATCCTGATTTGCTGGGTGAAAGCACATAATAAAGCTGAGTAAAAAAAGTAAATGTAGGACATTAGTAATTGGTAAGAATTTCAGTGATACTAAAGTAATTTGTATTTACCTTCGATGCTTTAGATATGGGCGTGTAATGAAGTTACGAGAGAGAGATAAAAATTGGATTAACCTAGATTTCAGTGCAGGCAAATCAAAGATGGTGGCATGGTTTGTCTCAAACTGTAACACTCAAAGTGGCAGACATAGGTGAGCAAAATATCTGAAATACATTTGTAGATTTTTTCACAGTAATATATCACTTGTATATTTGCAAAAAAATTGCTAAATCCCTGTCAAATAATGATATACTGTCTACATGTAAAATTACTTTGTATTTCCTCTGTATACTCTGCCAGTGAACCACATTTTTTTTTCTCCAGGGTGGTTAATACCCTGCAGCAATATATTGAAGTTGACATCTATGGCAAGTGTGGCACATTGAGTTGTGGCACTCATCACCGGAATTGGAAATGTTATGAAATGCTTGATAAGCACTACAAGTTCTACCTCGCCTTTGAGAATAATCTTTGTCTGGACTATGTTACTGAGAAGCTTTTCAACATCCTTGAGTAAGTCGCAGCACTATTCTTATGGAAAAGTTACCAAGACTCCCTGGAACCACTGTACCTCTTATCCTTTCACTACTGCCCACGGGAGGAGGAATAGGGAAGGAGAAGTGGGATAGTCAGTAGAAATAGGGGAAAAAACTCGAACATAGGTCATTGCCTATTCAATGGAGCTTTTGGTTATTTAAGAGACCCCCCCACTGGTTTATCCCCATTCTCATGTAAAATGCAGTACAGTACTTCATCATGTAACAACAAATGGTGACTGAGATGCCTCACAAAGTTATCACGCTGAAATGGAGTAGGGTTGCAGCTTATATATAAGACAATAAGAGAAATTTGGCATATACATAACTTTAGATAGGCATGGGACATAGCCATTTCACTTTACATCAGGACCAGCAAGGTAATAATTCCTATTGTTTTTCAGTTTAGTATTTATTGCCATGATTCATGCTTTAGACAAAACTGTTGTATTGTTTAACCAAAAATTCTTGAATGTCAGATTTACTGTATTTAATGAAAGACTCAAACCCATGAAAAACATAACATAATCATAACATAACATAATCTAACAAACTACTTTCATTACGTGCTATATCATACCTTATATATTTATCCTCTTTTTCATAAAATAGTATGTATTAAGTCATAATATCTACTACTAGCATTTGATAAACATGTTTTAAAATTTCAGTTGCATTTTGTCCACATGTTTCATATTGTATCTTTATATATGCTTCTAAACTGTTGTATCTGAGCGCCTCTGCAAAAACAGTGATTATGTATGAGTGAGGTGAAAATGTTGAATGATGATGAAAGTATTTTTGTTTTGGGGATTTTTTCTTTTTAGGTCACCCTGCCTAGGTGGGAGACGGCCGACTTGTTGAAAAAAAAAATGTTTCATTCTTCTGTCAATCCATTATTGTTCTACACATTAAATTAATATACTCTACATGCCACACACATGCACTACGAAACATTACCCAGTGTGCAAGACAATATTTATGAATTTCTGTGTATGCTTAATCTAAATCATTAAAGTTTTATCATACCTATTTAAAATCTTTGTTAATATCCGTTTCAAGTGTGCTTTATAAATGTATATTTGGATACTTAATGCATTGATGGCTCAATATTACAGCATGAATGTGATTCCTATTGTTTATGGGGGAGCCGACTACAAACATCTCCTTCCCCCTCACTCGTACATAGATGTTATGGAGTTTCCGGATATCAAGTCTCTGGCTGACTATCTCCTCTATCTCCATGCCAATGATACAGCCTACAATCAGTATTTTGAGTAAGTATATAATACTAATAAAAAAACTGTATGAATTATACAAGTACAGTGGTACCTCGAGTTTTGAAAAGTTCTCAACTCGAACAATTACGCAAGTGTATTTTTGTAAGTATTTTTTGGGGTCTGAAACAGACTAATCTAATTTATATTAATCCTTTATGGGAACAAATTCGTTCATTAACAGCACTCGAACAGCCATCTTGGAACGAATTAAGTTCGTAGCTCGAGGTACCACTACTGTAGCACAATGAGCTGTGCTCTTATTCTACAGTATGTCTTCTTTCGACAAGTTGGTCGTATCCCACCGAGGCAGGGTGGCCCAAAAGGAAAAACGAAAGTTTCTCCTTTTAAATTTAGTAATATGTAGGGGTTACTAGCCCCTTGCTCCTGGCATTTTAGTCTCTTCATTCCTGTCACGATTTTATTTTTATCAAAATTAAATAAATCACTTATACGTATTGAACTTTTACAAAATGTCGGACTATGTACCTAATGCACAATTATGATATTTAAGGTTATTTCATAGTACATTTAAACTCTTTTATAAGCAGGTAACATAGCAGAATTAGATGTAGCTACATGTTCACAGTATGCAGAGTAAGGCTCAGCTGCTAGACAGTCTTCTGCCCAACATGGTCTCTGCAATTTTTTATCGATAAAAAAATCCATTACACTAAACATAACAAAATTAAGACTACATATAATATTGTACCAGAATATAGTAGTAGTAGTAGTAGTATCAACACTTTTAGTGTGTTAGATAGGAGTGAATGGATCAGATGGTTTTTGGGACTTGAGCTGTTGGAGTTGTGAGCACAGTAATATTTTCTGAAGGGATTCGGGGAAACCGGTTAGCCAGACTTGAGTCCTGGAGGTGGGAAGTACAATGCCAGCACTTGTGGGGAGTGATTTAGGACATTGCTGTTTGGAGTGACATCTGAACTGTTATATCCAAGTGCCTCTTCAAAGACTGATTATGTGTGAATAATGGTGATTATTATTATTATTATAATCAAAAAGAAGCGCTAAGCCACAAGGACTATACAGCGTGAATAATGGTGAGTGTTGAATGATATTGAGTGTTTATTGGGTCGCCCTGCCTTGGTGGGAGGCAGCTGATGTTAAAAAAAAGAATTAAAAGGCTGTGGGGTCACCCAGGGTATAATTCAGAGGGCTGAGGGATCGTTGAGGTGGTTTGAACATGTAGGAAGAATGTAGAGGGATAGGATTATCATGTATAAATCTAGGATGGAAGGTAGGAGGGGTAGGGGTCATCCCAGGAATAGTTGGAGGGAGGGGGTGGCTTTGAGTTTTAGGGGCTTGAGCATTCAACAGGCTTGTGTGATCCTGTTAGGAATAAATAGTGGTTTATAATGGACCTGCCGGTAGTGCAATCATTGTAACATTTACTGCTTTTATAACCCCATCCATAATTTTTTCTGTATATTCACACCACGCATTGTTCTCAAGCCTGACTTTTCCACTGCCTCTAGCCTCCTCACTACAGTGTTTGAAACCTATGCCTGACTCCCATACAAAAATGGTACTAAGTACTATACTCTGGCCCATTCCACTTTTGACCTCAATAGTTACTAAGTCTCTTTCCACAGATGCCTCAACACACCACCTACTTTTTTTTCCCCTCTTCTACATTTTTTCCCTGATGTTGGGCCGCAATAACTTGGTGGCAGGGTTTGTGGTTTGTTATTATACAGTGCCTGTGGGGAAAGGGGGGTTGGAAGGTATTCAGGCTCAATTCAGGGAACAGGAGCACAGATCCAATTCCCTAGATCAAAAGCCCCTCGCCAGCATTGTGGTTTATGGCTAGGCATAGAGGGCCACTTCTCTGGGAGGGTTGCCACTCTTACCACAGAGCATTTGCCCAAGAACCCAGCATCTCTTTTGGTATAAATGTTGAGGGGTATTTCCCCACCATCTAAATTTGCTTTCACTCCTGGCAGGTGACATGGAATTACATGGAAAGTTTGAGACAGATTGCAGAATGTGAAAAATAGATTCTGAATAGTTTTGTGATTAAGACTTTTGTCATATGAGACTGAATTAGTCACGACAGTAGGAAGTTGTTATTGATAGTGTAAATTTGTTATACTGTATAATGTTAACAATGGAATATGCTTAGTGCTGAATAACCAAAAGGTTCTAATGCTTTATAAATACAACAAAACAATAACCTTGTCTATTCTATGGCTTACCTCATCTTTCATAGATGCATCTGTTGACATGGTTACTCCCATAAACCTAAATACATCCACATCTTCCCTACTCCCTCCAATAACAAAATAGTCCCCCTCCTCCTACATACATACGTACTTACCATATTATTTTGAAAGTGCTAAACCTGTGTAGGGTCACTTAGCATTGCATGGCAATGGTGAGATGGTAGAGGGGAGAGGTAAGATATTGAGAAGACACATGACCCAACCTGACCTTTATTCTAGTGTTCTGATTATTCTTCCCTTAATACAGCCCTGATGTTCTCACATTCATAATGTTCTAAGGGTGTGACTTCCACAAGGTACAGAATTGACTGAAATGTTCATTTTTTATTTATACTGTAACTGGTTGATTTGCTACAGTAACTGCACAAACGTTTGCCTTGCAAAATCGTAATGACACGATTGTAAATAACTATGAATGGAGTGAGGTTTGAACCCATAGTAAGCTGGTTCTAAAACTAGCATGCCAGTGTACTATCCACTTCATACCAATCTAATAAAATTCATAAAACTAGATTAGCATGGGCCACCACTGTGGCCACAAATGTAGGTTTTTAGTTATCTCTCACCAGCATGGCTGTGGCAAGCTTTACCTTGCTACAGCTAGTTTAGTGCTTCACTTGATTATATTACTTCAACACTGTTAAGAATGACTTGTGAAACCCATCGCTTGCAATGGGTTTGAAGCCCACTTTGCCTAGTGAGTTACACAAATACGTATATGGTGTAAACCTTGGTAATAAATACCGACAAGTTGGTTTAGAAAGACACGTAAGCAAACACTATGACATATTTATTAGAAAACATTTTGGTCCTGGGACCTTGATCAAGGTCCCAGGACCGAAACATTTTCAAATAAATATGTTAGTGTTTGCTTACCTGTCTTTTTAAACCAAATACGTATATAACTTCATTCAAATACAAATACAAAAATTGTATACTATGTCCGGCATAATGCCTAAATTATATATGTATAATGCATACAGATGGAAGCAGTATTATCAAGTAGTGACAAGATGGGCATCAAGAATGCGAGCATGGTGTAGACTCTGTGAGAAACTTCACACACAACCCACATCAAAGATCTACCCAGATATGCACGACTGGTTCTACACAAAAGGACAGTGTAAAGTGCCCTCAGACTGAATCATCATGTAAAAAGTAAACTTTAAGGTTTCATAGGTATACAATTTAATATCTTTTTTTACCATATTCAGGGTTCCATATAAGAACATAACAGAAAAATGGAGGAACACTGCAGTAGGCCTGTTGGCTCATACTAGGCAGGTCCTTCACAAATCCAACCCACTAACAGAATAAACACTGTGATGAATGATTTAGAAAACCGACAAGTTGAAGAACTGAGACACTTATGAAGCGACATTTGAAGTGTTTTCACTTTTGGGCAGGTATTATACCTTGAGGTGAAAAAGGACTAGACTAAACAGGTTCAAGAGAGACTTGGGGAGTTTGTGGGAAATTACAGTAAAATGGTCAAAGAGCAGCAGCAGTCATGTGATCATTAAGAACAATTATGCAGAGTGACATAACTGACAGGTTGGTTGAAGTTAACAAATATAGAACAGAACATTTATCAAGAAGATTTCACCTGTATAACAGGCTCTTTCCAAGTCAGCGATTGACTTGAAAAAGCTTGTCACACTGGTACTGTATAACCCTTATGAGTTTAGCACTTAGTTTTGATTGTTGTAATGATTTGTTATACTGGCAATACATCAGCTCAGTGAAAGCTGTTCTCATTTGTCTATTTCAACCAAGAATAGTGTTCTTTAGGAGTTTGTTGGTGATTGGGTAAGCCCTGGAGGGAAAACTTAAATATGCCACCATTGGTGTTGTAAATTGTTCCGTAATTTTGAAAAATTGTTTTCCAAGCTTAAAAAAAAAAAAAAAAAAAAAAACAGCCAGTCCCTGTAGCAACCACAGAACTCAAATTCCTTACCGAGTCTGCTCACTGGGTGAGAATGCAGCCAATGTGAATCCAGTATCCTTGAGTTTATTATACATACATTGTAATTCAGCTCACTGGAAATTTTACTACATTGGAGATTTACCAAGCCATTTAAAAAAGGATCCCTTGTAATTAATATGGCTTGCTTTTACCTAAATTATGATTTGAAAATAGTGTATAATTTTGATATTGTTTTATCATAAAGCTTCCATCAGTTTTAATTGCACTACTAAAGCTCTAAGAATAAAATATCAGCAAGAAGCACAAGTCCTACAATTTGTACTGTGCTTCTATAACCCAAACAAGTGTTTAAACTTTAACCTGATTTACCTTGTGTAGTATGTTAGATAATACAAGTGGCATCTGTCAAAAGACAGTCTTACATCAGTGGGAGCTTAACAAACTTTCAAGTGATAGTTTCAGTGAGCAAATAAAGTCAACTAATCCATTATCATTTATTATCTCAAGCTGAGCATCAATTATTTACACAAGTCTATAAATTATATGGCATTAAGATGCACTTGCAGATGTTCTGGAATAACTAATGCATTAGTTAAAGAAAGCAAGATAAACTTATGGAAACTACCAAGATGTCCATTCCTTTTCTTACTCTTTTACACCCTTCATAATTTGAATGCCTATATTTTTCCTTGGCAGAAGACTGGGTTATCAAACTAATAAAAAATAAATATTTTTGTATTGGTCACAGATAAGATACACAAGTACACAAATATAGGTCTTGGGAATCAGGTGGATAAATAATTACCTGAAAAATTATACCTATCTTTTTTTCTTAGTGAAATTTTTTATCAAAATCTTTTCAGCAAGTAAAGCACTTGCTTCATAATACATTTAACTTATTGGAAAAGCAGTTACAGCATGTCCAGTGACTCAGTTCAGCATTTTTCTTTGCTAAGGTTCATGCAACAGTGAAAAAGTTGCAAGAGTGATCCTCTAATGCTAATGAAGCTCCTATAAAATTCGTATCTTGTAATTGAACAGTCAGTGGCATTTACTCATTCTATTTCAAAATACTGAATCTTACTACAAATCAATATAATAGGCTGCAATCTTAATTGTTTTAAGAAATAGATATAATGGATCATTGTACCTAAATTACCACACACAAAAAGGTATCACAAGATAGAGTACATAAATCTTAAACAGAGGTATCTACCATAATTATTAAAATTCCATATTGTTGGGGGTCACAACAGCATAAATAGCATTGAAAATTACAAACTACTATGCAATACCACCATACTAAATTTGAATGATAAAGTACATATTCAAGTAAAAGAATATGACTATTTATTTTAGTAAATAAACAAAAACTGTAAAGCCTTTTAAAATAGTACCTTCTCATTCTACAGTAAGGTACTATACATCAGGTTAAAAAAAAGGAAAAAAGTTTGAGCACATAACTAGGTTTGCTACACAAAGTTATTGCTTGTAACGAATGCATTCATGAGTGAATTTCCTATTCACTTTTGGGCATACAGTATTCACAAACTTCAAAATTGGTGGTAATCTTCTAAAAACTTCCTCCAAATTTCCTGAGAGCACCCTGAGAGGTTGCAAAAAAAATGCCTATGTACTGTGGAAGAGTCAGAGATTAAGATGAAAGGGGAGGGGAGAAGGAAAGAGGGATGAAAAAAAATGTTACTGTACTCGCCTAGTTGAGGTTGCAGGGGTTGAGTCCAAGCTCCTGGCCTCCTGTGTGTGTTATATATATATACATTGTACAGTGGACCCCCGCTTAACGATCACCTCCCAATGCGACCAATTATGTAAGTGCGTTTGTACGTGTATGTTTGGGGGTCTGAAATGGACTAATCTACTTCACAATATTCCTTATGAGAACAAATTCGGTCAGTACTGGCACCTGAACATACTTCTGGAATGAAAAAATATCGTTAACCGGGGGTCCACTGTATATATTTTTATATATATATTTTTTTTTTTTTTTTTTTTTTCAACAAGTCGGCCGTCTCCCACCGAGGCAGGGTGACCCAAAAAAGAAAGAAAATCCCCAAAAAGAAAATACTTTCATCATCATTCAACACTTTCACCACACTCGCACATTATCACTGTTTTTGCAGAGGTGCTCAGAATACAACAGTCTAGAAGCATAAACATATAAAGATACACAACATATCCCTCCAAACTGCCAATATCCCAAACCCCTCCTTTAAAGTGCAGGCATTGTACTTCCCATTTCCAGGACTCAAGTCCGACTATATGAAAATAACCGGTTTCCCTGAATCCCTTCACTAAATATTACCCTGCTCACACTCCAACAGATCGTCAGGTCCCAAGTACCATTCGTCTCCATTCACTCCTATCTAACACGCTCACGCACGCTTGCTGGAAGTCCAAGCCCCTTACCCACAAAACCTCCTTTACCCCCTCTCTCCAACCCTTTCGAGGACGACCCCTACCCCGCCTTCCTTCCCCTATAGATTTATATGCTTTCCATGTCATTCTACTGTGATCCATTCTCTCTAAATGACCAAACCACCTCAACAACCCCTCTTCTGCCCTCTGACAAATACTTTTATTAACTCCACACCTTCTCCTAATTTCCACCACTCCGAATTTTCTGCATAATATTTACACCACACATTGCCCTTAAACAGGACATCTCCGCTGCCTCCAACCGTCTCCTCGCTGCTGCATTTACCACCCAAGCTTCACACCCATATAAGAGTGTTGGTACTACTATACTTTCATACATTCCCTTCTTTGCCTCCATAGATAACGTTTTTTGACTCCACATATACCTCAACGCACCACTCACCTTTTTTCCCTCATCAATTCTATGATTAAACCTCATCCTTCATAAATCCATCCGCCGACACGTCAACTCCCAAGTATCTGAAAACATTCACTTCTTCCATACTCCTCCTCCCCAATTTGATATCCAATTTTTCTTTATCTAAATCATTTGACACCCTCATCACCTTACTCTTTTCTATGTTCACTTTCAACTTTCTACCTTTACACACATTCCCAAACTCATCCACTAACCTTTGCAATTTTTCTTTAGAATCTCCCATAAGCACAGTATCATCAGCAAAAAGTAACTGTGTCAATTCCCATTTTGAATTTGATTCCCCATAATTTAATCCCACCCCTCTCCCAAACACCCTAGCAATTACTTCCTTTACAACCCCATCTATAAATATATTAAACAACCATGGTGACATTACACATCCCTGTCTAAGACCTACTTTTACCGGGAAGTAGTCTCCCTCTCTTCTACACACCCTAACCTGAGCCTCACTATCCTCATAAAAACTCTTTACAGCATTTAATAACTTACCACCTATTCCATATACTTGCAACATCTGCCACATTGCTCCTCTATCCACTCTATCATATGCCTTTTCTAAATCCATAAATGCAATAAAAACTTCCCTATCTTTATCTAAATACTGTTCACATATATGCTTCAATGTAAACACCTGATCTACACATCCCCTACCCACTCTAAAACCTCCTTGCTCATCCGCAATCCTACATTCTGTCTTACCTCTAATTCTTTCAATTATAACCCTACCGTACACTTTTCCTGGTATACTCAGTAAGCTTATTCCTCTATAATTTTTACAGTCTCTTTTGTCCCCTTTCCCTTTATATAAAGGGACTATACATGCTCTCTGCCAATCCCTAGGTACCTTCCCCTCTTTCATACATTTATTAAACAAAAGTACCAACCACTCCAACACTATATCCCCCCCTGCTTTTAACATTTCTGTCATGATCCCATCAGTTCCAGCTGCTTTACCCCCTTTCATTTTACGTAATGCCTCACGTACCTCCCCCACACTTACATTCTGCTCTTCTTCACTCCTAAAAGATGGTATACCTCCCTGACCAGTGCATGAAATTACTGCCTCTGTTTCTTCCTTAACATTTAAAAGTTCCTCAAAATATTCTCGCCATCTACCCAATACCTCCATCTCCCCATCTACTAACTCCCCTACTCTGTTTTTAACTGACAAATCCATATTTTCCCTAGGCTTTCTTAACTTGTTTAACTCACTCCAAAATTTTTTCTTATTTTCATTAAAATTTCTTGACAGTGCCTCTCCCACTCTATCATCTGCTCTCCTTTTGCACTCTCTCACCACTCTCTTTACCTTTCTTTTACTCTCCATATACTCTGCTCTTCTTATAACACTTCTGCTTTGTAAAAACCTCTCATAAGCTACCTTTTTCTCTTTTATCACACCCTTTACTTCATCATTCCACCAATCACTCCTCTTTCCTCCTGCCCCCACCCTCCTATAACCACAAACTTCTGCCCCACATTCTAATACTGCATTTTTAAAACTATTCCAACCCTCTTCAACCCCCCCACTACTCATCTTTGCACTAGCCCACCTTTCTGCCAATAGTCGCTTATATCTCACCCGAACTTCCTCCTCCCTTAGTTTATACACTTTCACCTCCCTCTTACTTGTTGTTGCCACCTTCCTCTTTTCCCATCTACCTCTTACTCTAACTGTAGCTACAACTAAATAATGATCCGATATATCAGTTGCCCCTCTATAAACATGTACATCCTGGAGCCTACCCATCAACCTTTTATCCACCAATACATAATCTAATAAAATATATATATATATATATATATATATATATATATATATATATATATATATATATATATATATATATATATATATATATATATATATATATATATTATATATATAATATATATATATATATATATATATATATATATATATAATATAAATATATATATTATATTTATCATATATATCTATATATGTATATATATATATATATATATTTTATTTATATATGATTTTATATAATATATAATATTATATATGAGTATATGATATATATATATATATATAATAAAATTATATATATTTAAATGTTGTTTTCCTATAGTCAGAACTTCCATTGTAAGGATAATTGCTTGTCATTTCGTATGATGGCTATAACTAAATTGTGGTAATGAAATAACTATAGAGACAGAACTGCTGATTGGATTTAAAGGCTACCAATTAGAAGATCTAATCAAACATCTATTCAGTAGGGTATTGAATGTCGAGAGTAACATGCCACGATGTGCCCAAATTTCCTTAATTAAATGTTATCTGAAATTTTCTAATAAATGTTACATATACAGTATTTAAGCTATGTTAGGTTTTAAGTTTAGCAAGGTTTGGCTTATTTGCAAATTAGTTTTAGTATAAATTAAAAATACCACACATCATGCCTATTTACATAAATGCTTGTACAGCTTATAGTATACCCCTAAAATTCACTGGCTTGTGTATTCTTGTATTTATATTATCCATTTTTAAAGATGAGCAGCCAGTGAATAGTCACCTATGCAAAGATTTTCTGGCTTGATTAGCCAAATTCGTGACGTACATTAGAGAGATGATTTCTGAAGCACAACAGGAAAAGTGTGTTTGTCTAAATTTTGTATTACTCTGTTTTTGGTTTCACGAAGGACCCTATGAATGTAAACCCTCGCAAATTTGTAAGGACAATTTTACATTACAGTACAAGCCCATATTTTGACACATCAGCCGTTTCCAACAGAGGCAGGATGACTCGAAAAAGAAGAAACACTTTAATCATCACTGCCTTGCCAGAGGCATGCCTACACTACAGTTAAAAAAAAAAAAAAAAAAAAAAAAAAAAAAAAAAAAAAAAAATATGCAACAAATCAGCACACCACCTTCAGAGCACAGACACTACTTCTCACCTCCAGGGACTTGAGTCTGGCTAATTGGTTTTCCTGAATGCCTTCATGTTACTTTGCTCACACTCCAACAGCATACAAGTCATGAAAGCCATTTGTCTCCACTCGCTCCTACCTAACGAGTTCTCGCATGCTTGCTGGCGGTCCAAGCCCATTGCATACAAAACCACTTTTACCCTCTCCCTCCAGCCTTTCCTAGGACAACACCTACCCCACCTTCCTTCCACTAGAGAGTTACATGGCCTCCAAGTCATTCTATTTCATTCCAGCCTCTTTACCCCTCAAGGGAGGTTCCCTGATGCTAGTGAGGGACTCTTGATCTAGGGACTTAATTTATGCTTCACTTCCCTAAATTAAGTCTGAATGCCTTCAGTTCCCCCCCATCCTCACAGGCGCTGTATAATCTTCATGGGTTTAGCGCTCCCCCATAATAATCCATCTTCTTTAAATGTCCAAACCAGCGAGGCAGGGTGACCCAAAAAAAAAACTTTCACCACCACTTAACACTTTTACCATTATTCGCACAATGTCACTGTCTTTGCAGAGGTGCCCAGACATGACAGTTTGGATATCACTCCAAACTAAATATAGTGTACAAATTTCTTAATCTGCACTAAAACTTACTTGGCAACTTACCATAACCTTACTAACAATACATACACAAAAATGCAGCTTATTCCTACTGAACCTACCTAGTTTGTCTAAATTCAGTAAGCATTAAAGTCAAGGAAGTGCATTATTTTTTATAACGTTCAAATTAATTTTCACTAAGTTACAGCAAAAATAAATACACTGATTTGCCATATAGTACAAAAATCATTGTTTTAAATATATACAGTACAGTCTGCAATTTCTCACTAAAAAGTGCACACACACACACACACACACACACACACACACACACACTGCATAATCTGTATATAATTTTATAATACTGTACTTTTGATGATGTATGACCCTTCTGGGTTTAGTGATAATTTTGATTGTAATATATACTAATATTACATGTACTTTTAATCTCAAATGCAAATAAAGGAAAATGATCTTGAGGCATGACATATCTTTTGGCATAACTTGTTAACAGTGTTTACCGAGATAAATTTCACTTAAGAAACTAGCAAATGACATTGAAACTGGTTATGATGGCATGTTTGTGACTGAGCCCCCCCCTCAAGGAAGGTTCCTTGATGTTAGCGAGGGGCTCTTGATTTAGGAAATTGGATCTGTGCTCCAGTTCCCCGAATTAAGCCTGAATGCCTTCCACATCCCCCCCCCCAGGCGCTATATAATCCTCCGGGTTTAGCGCTTCCCCCTTGATTATAATAATAATTGACTGAGCCCAAGAGAGAATAAGAAAGTTTTCATGGAATCTGTACAGTTATTACTGAACTAAAGTTTTAGCAAGAGTTGAAAATCGGCATTATTTTTGTGTACCAGTTCAACATTATTTCACTACATTTTTACCGCCCTCGCTAGTCTCTGATCAAGCATATTAAAACTTTAGCACACCCTACCCTGCAATGCTTTAAGACCCTTGTGGGTTTAATGCTTAATGATTATAATCACTATATTTTACTAAAAGAAACATGAGGCAGTTGTGTATAAACATCTCGGCATGAAATAAATCAATCACTTATAATGCCGACACTGGTAGTGCCACTTTTAATGTGAGTACAAACACGATGTAAATTTTGTACATACACTTTATCACTGCTACAGAATCGCACAGCTAATTACAGTATGGCAAGGTGCATTTCTTACATTACCAAAAATTACTGCAAATGTAAAATAGTTTGTCGTAGCTAAAAATATCAATAATGGAATTGTTCTGTATGACCCTTGTAGGTTCAGCGCTTCTTTTTGATCATAATAATCAATGATGAAAAACCACATGACAGAGGACATGAGTGACGATACAGTCCAAATTGCAAGGCAAAAACCAGTCTAAGGATCAAGGTAGGATCCTGGAATATTCACAGTTAGTACTTAAACCTGAACACTGAGCTCTAATGAATTTCCTGAAGCTTAATTTTCTAGGTGCAGATGCTGCTACTCCCCTTTTCACTAAGAATTTTCAGCCAATTTAGGAAATTGTAGTGAAGGCATTTAAATAACAGCAGCATCCTGCTGCTGCTTTCCCCAACACACACTGCAGACTCAACAACAGTTATCGAGAAATGAAACGTGTGAAATTTTATGAACTAATTGTGTACAGCACTGTTTGTGCACACGCACATACATACATGTGTGCACTCGCACATATGCACATACACAGTGTATACTGTGTGTATATATATATATATATATTATATACACTATACTGTGGGTGTGTGTGTACATATATATTATATACACATATGCATACTGTAATTGTTGTTTAGCACTTCTTTTTGATTATAATAATAATACCGTAGTTGTTACATTTGTCACACTACACGTGTGTACATATATATATACTACTGGATATAAACTTAGATTTTAGCTTTATATGAAATAGTACTATACATTACAGTGATGTACACATTTCCTAGAATTAACTTTACATAAGCATAACTACATAAGTATTAAATGAGTAGATAATGTGCCAATCAACAATACTGACAATTATATTACTGCTCACCAGCTAGTCAGCAGCAAAAAGAAAAACGATTGGTTTCATCATTCAAACACTATAGAATAAGAAAAAATATGGAAAGCAATACTGCAAAAATAGTCTATTTAATTTCATCAACAGTCTTTTGGACAAAAAATCTTGTATGCATATTTTCTTTCACTTAAAAAAAAAAAAAAAAAAAAAAAAAAAAAGTGTTAAATGTATAAAGTATCTATGCATTTCACTGGATGGAAGGAACCAGGAGGAATGTACAGGAAATGATGAAAGTGGTAATAAAGATTGACAGCTAGCAGAATACTACATATTAAAAAAATAAAAGTGCGAGAGTAGACTTTAAAGCAGTAGTTCTCAAACTTTTTGCCCACACCCCACTAACATGCTAATCTAACTCAATGACCCCCTTTCCCTGAAGCTTATTAAATGTGATAACACTATAAGAGTAAAATAAAGACATTTTCCACTTGAAATTTTATTGAATACCCAAATATGCAACCCAATGTTGTGCAAAACACTTTAGAAAATATTCACAGGTATTACAAACAGAAAGGCACTGTACTAATGAAGACCTGGACTGCTTTTAACTGCATTTAAATAAGAAAAAACTCCATTTACAGTTTTAATTCTACTCACAAATAGCTACCTGTTTGTGCAATGCATCTCTTAAAAGGCATGTCCAGTATGTACTTTAATATGATGGTGACACCAACTTTTTGGTTTCATATACGTCTAGTTATATTCTGATGTTTGGATGATGATCACTCCCCACATCAAGAGTTTTGCTACTTTTATTTGATCCCAACCAGGTCTGAAAATTCTATCTTGTACAGATACCTCTGTGACTTGTTAATGGTCCGAGTCAGACCAAAATGTTATCGTAAGTTTCAGTTTCCTATGTGTGGATTGTGTAAGAGATAATAACTTGAAGGGTTTACATTTCAAGTCTCAATGGCAGGTATTCCACCCAAATTTTTTTTCCAAAGCAAGAGTTGTAGTCATCTTTTGTTGCAGAATCAAACTTCAATTCAAGAAACATCCTTTGCAAGGTTTCACTGAACATCCTCAACTCCAATGGAAACGAGATTCTTGTCAAGACTGAATTTGATAATACATTAATTTACGTCTTGAATACAGTGATGGAACTTGTCCTTCTGAGCTGATGGGCGACTATCTCAGTTTTAAGACCAATACAAAGTTTTTGTATTTCAGGATTTCACTGGGACTAGATGATGCTGTGTTGCTTTATCTGATGTGACTTCTATGACTGTAGTTAAGCAATGAATATTTGGGTTGCATCATAGTTGCCAAATGTCTGTAAGATAAACAAATGGCAAGCTAAACAACTCCAAATTAAAGGTGGCAGAGATGTTATTCCATAAGGTCATATCTTTGTCTCTTCTCTCAGATCTTATAAGTAACCCAGCATGTTTCAATTAAAGTCACCATACATTAGCATGGAACAGTAAATCTCTCTTGTTCTTCTGAAAATATAATTACACAATTGTACTATTATTTTATGTGGATTACCATTCTGATTATGTTCAAAGATTCCTCGAGATGTAAGGAAAAGTGTCATCACTGCCAAAATGTCACAAAGTGTGATACAGTGTGTTGAAATAGCTGAGAGACTTCTCTCTTGAAATGTTGTGATGGAGTCAAAGCATGGCCAAGTACAGTGAGAAATCTATTCGTGTGAGATATGCTTCTTCCTTTTCCTCATACCAAGTGGAATTGGTTCAATGTCTGGCAGTATTGTGAAGCTCAAAAATGCACACACACACAAAAAAAAAAATATTGTACAAGCTCAAAGAAAAGTTACCTTCCAGCAATATTTGAAAGCATCCTTAATGACTTAAATTTAAAAAAAAAAAGGGCACTGCAAGGATCAAGGCTCATTAATTATTTAATCTTTTTGATAATAATTACTTAAAATTCTTCTTTGTTTGCCAATAATCTTTTTCCTCATGTTGTTTCCAATATCATAGCTTTGTCCACATATGTTTTCAACAGGCAATAGCTTTTCTAAATTACAAAGGATAGTATCTATCATGGAATTATACACCAGGTTTCTCACTTTGCAGCAAAAATTTCAAGCAATGTCCTTTTATGCTTACAGACTCATTATTATCAGTTTTTGAAGCTATGTCTAAAAAAAATAAAAAAGCATAGCTATTTGTCCCACACAACTTACATCTAGAGTACGATTCAGTATGAGTGGACACCACATGACAGCACAAGCAGATCTACGGACTTCTTCAAAGGTACTAGGCATGAGCTGAATCAGCTCATTTTGTATTTCTTTTTTAAGGTCAAGTATCTCTCTCAACATATTCAGCAGGAAAGCATTGTAGTTTCATTAAGAAGAGTCACCATAGTTTAACCCTCTCATTGTCCAGCCCCCCGAAGTTAAGTGCTCGCTGTGTCCCACATTATATATAAAAAGTAATTCTTCTGAAATGGTACAGAGTTTTTTTCTGAAGATAATGACACCAAAAAATACAAAATTTGGTGGAAAAACTTATGGAATTACATAGGCACAAAGTTAGTGGTCTGGGCACAATTTATGCATCGATGATTTTGACAAATTCCATTGTTCAATTTGCCCAAATTCTTAGCTATTTTGCTAGAATGCCTTCTATTCTATTGATTGAGCACAAGAAACTGCACATTCAGCTATTAAACCTATGCTATAAAGTATACAGGAGTTGGTAATTTGGCCAATTTAAAAAAAAAAAAAAAAAAAAAAAAAAAATCCAATGTAATATTACAGTAGGGCCTCACTTCACAGCGTTCCACTAATATGGACACTTTAAATATTGACAAACTCGCTGTATGGCTCTTCCCACTTGACTTTCTAATACGGTCACAGCACCCCACCCGGTTTGTTTATATTCTCCGTGAGCTACATGTCTCTCCATTACATCCGGAAATTTTCCCAAATTTCAAGTTTTTTAAAGTTATTTCATATTATATATATATTTTTTTGACATGTCGGCCATTTCCAACAGAGGCAGGGTAACCCAAAAAGAGAGAAAAACCACTTTCACAATCATTCACATGTAATCACTGTCTTTGCAGAGGCGCTCAGATACGAGAGTTTAAATGTCACTTAACCCTTTTTCTGTCAAGACCCTTGCTCACAAACTTGCTCTCACTGTCGAAGAATTAAAAAAAAAAAATTCTTATGAAATGACAGAATCTTTTCCTGATGGTAATGACACCAAAAGTATGAGATTTGATGGAATTACACTCTCACAAAGTCAGCAGTCTCAGCAATGTACACACATTGGCAATTTCACCCAATTTGAGCCCTATTTTTGACAAATTCCATTGTTTCAGTCGACCAAACTCATAGCTATTTCGCTAGAACTCCATTTGTTCTATTGACTGAATATAGGAAACTGCCCATTTACCAATTTCAACTACCCAATAAAGTGGTAAGAAATTGGCAATTTGGCCAATTTTAAAAAAATTTCAAAAGATGCCAACATCAAAATAGGGTCCAGAATAAACAATGCAGACATTCCTGACACTAAAATAACATTTTCTCTGTTCATTGGTCACATCTCCAGACCCCTCTTATATTACTCTTGCTTTCCATTTTGAATTTTTATTCTCACAAAAAGTAGAAGATTTACTCTTATGCAGACTACTGCATTATTGTAATAATTGTATAAATAAAGTCAACCCATTTGTGAGTGCATATCAGACTTTACTCTTGAACACTGGCAAAAATAGAACATTTCTGTTACTATGAGCTCAATTTCAAGGTACTTTTCATTGTGAAACCAATCAAAATTATCTCGATTTCTGTAATGCATCTTTCACTTTATCAAATGAGACCAAGAAAACGAGAATACAACCATGAACAATACGAAAATACACCTCAAAGTCGGTGTTTTAAACCAAAAACATGGTCAGAGTTTTTTTTCTCATTATGCACTGCGTGCTGCAGGATTTTTTTTTTATACTGCACACACTGACCATGAAGACCCACTGTTTTTTCCCACCTCTGGGACTCAAGTCCAGCTAATCGGTTTCCCTGAATCTCTTCACAAAAATATTACCCTGCTCACACTCCAACAGCTAGTCAGATCCCAATAATAATTTGTCTCCATTCACTCCTATCTAACATACTCACACATGCCTGTTGCATGTTCAGGCCCTGTGAATTGAAAATACTGTTACTATATATACAGATTCTAGGTAGTAGGTTGGTAGACAGCAACCGCCCAGGGAGGTACTACCGTCCTGCCAAGTGAGTGTAAAATGTAAGCCTGTAATTGTTTTACATGATGGTAGGATTGCTGGTGTCCATTTTTCTGTCTCATAAACATGCAAGGTTTCAGGTATGTCTTGCTACTTCTACTCACACTTAGGTCACACTACACATACATGTACAAGCATACATATATATACACCCCTCTGGGTTTTCTTCTATTTTCTTTCTAGTTCTTATTCTTGTTTATTTCCTCTTATCTCCATGGGGAAGCGGAATAAAATTCTTCCTCCGTAAGCCATGCGTGTTGTACGAGGCGACTAAAATGCCGGGAGCAAGGGGCTAGTAACCTCTTCTCCTGTATATATTACTAAATGTAAAAGGAGAAACTTTTGTTTTTCCTTTTGGGCCACCCCGCCTCGGTGGGATATGGCCGGTGTGTTGAAAGAAAGAAGAAAAGGAGAAACTTTTGTTTTTCCCTTTGGACCACCCTGCCTTGGTGGGATACGGCCGGTGTGTTGAAAGAAAGATATATACAGATGAGGAATACAAGACTGCAAACTTTTAAGAGCATGAGCAATAGAAGAAACAGCAGGTACAACATATGCAAATCTGTGGTGAGAGGCTACAGCTCATTTTATGTGACATCAAGAACACTGATGAGACAAATAGCTTTCCTATAAAATGTGTACATGATTTAGGTAGACAGTAACTTCCCCAGAAGTGAGAACAGTACTCCAGACTATGATGAACAAGACTCATAGAACAGTATACGATAAGTGAAACAGTTTCTGAATCTGAAATAATTTCCTGACCTTTTAAGAAAGGGAGATTTATAATGCCTAAAATTTTGATTAAAGATTATAGGTTGGAACAGGTATTTTTGAAGTAAAGCTGGTTGGTAATAAGAGTGTGACAGCTTTAATGTAATGTGCAAAATTTTTGTTTTCAGTTAAAGTTAATTTGTATTAATGTTGGTAAAATTACCGACAATATGTTAGGTAAAATGACACAAGTGCAACTAATGTGACATTTTATTGTGGCAACAATTCACTCTTCAGGTGCTTTGTCAAGCCGTAATTGTTAACAGCTTGACAAAGCTCCTGGAGAGCGAAATGTTGCCACAATAAAATGTCACATTAGTTGCACCTGTGTCCTTTTACCTAACAAAGCTAATTTGGGCAAATTATAAGTGTCCAACAGAGAAGGAATTAAGATCAAATCCAAGAGTACTTCACTGAAAAATACAAGATTCAGTGAGAGCTACAGAAGAAGGAGTATGACTAAGGTGAATAAAGCTAGACAAATTCCTACACCCATGTTCACTAGAAAGGCACAGTAAAAAAAATTAAATCTTCACCACTTTTGCCAAGAACTTAAATTTGTTTAATTTAATATTAACCCTTTCAGGGTTGGTGCCGTACTAGTACGCATAAATTCTAGCACCTTCAAATCTAGCGAGAGAAACCTGGTAGGCCTACATATGAAAGAATGGGTCTGTGGGGTCAGTGTGTGCAGTATAAAAAAAATTCTGCAGCACACAATGCATAATGAGAAAAAAAAAAAACCCCGACCATGTTTTTGGTTTAAAACAGTGACTTTGCAGTGTATTTTCGTATGCTATTTATGGTTGTATTCTAGTTTTCCTGGTCTCATTTTATAGAATGGAAAACATATTATGGAAATTGAGATGATTTTAATTGGTTTCACAATGAAAAGTACCTTGAAATTGAGCTCAAAGTAGCAGAAATCTTCGATTTTTGCCAAAGTTCAAAGTAAGCAAATCATGCCACACGTCCAATACACGTCAACTGGTGAGTCTAATATTCTTTCACAAGTGCACTGATATTGTTTATACCATTTCTACACTAATGCAGTAGTCTGCATAACAGTAAATCTTCTATTTATTTGTGAGAATAAAAATTCAAACTGGAAAGCAAAAGAAATGTACGAGAGGCCTGGGGACATGACTAATGAACAAAGGAAATGTTATTTTAGTGCCAGGAATGTCTGTCTTGTCTATTCTGGACCCTATTTGGAAATTGGCATCTTTTGAAATTTGTGTGAAATTGGTAAAATTGCCAATTTCTGACCCCTTTATTGGATAGTTGAAATCAGTACATAGGTGGTTTCTTGTACTCATTTGATAGAAAAAATGGAGTTCTAGCAAAATAGTTATGATTTTTTTCGACTGGAACATGGGAATTGGCTGAAAATAGGGCTCAAAGTGGGCGAAATTGCTGATGCGTAAACATCATCGAGACCGCTAACTTCACAAGAGCATAATTCCGTAAGTTTTCACTCAAATTTCATACTTTTGGTGTCATTATGATCAGGAAAAGATTCTCTAGCATTTCATAAGAAAAAATAATTTTTTTTTTTTTAAATTTTAGACCCTGAGAACAAGTTTCTGGGAGGGCCTGTCGACCCTGAAAGGGTTAATGAAGTGAAGATATTTATTGTTGGTTACAATTACTGCAGTGTGATATTCGGAACTAAAACTATGTAAATAAAATTAACAACTGACCTTCACTGATGTGGAATTCAGTACCACTGCATGTATTATCATATTAAGTAGTCCTATCTGATCACAGTAATTGTTTTACTAATATTAATACATATATGGATATATTTAAAATCTTAAAATTCCATCAGTCAAGAAATGATAATGTAATACAAGCAATATCATTTACAAACCCAAAAATAACAAAAATAAAATATCCGTCATATTATTTCTCCTCAATACGAATAAGTTAAAACACAGTCTGAAAAGGGTAGCACATTCAAAATGCTACTGAAAATTGTGGTTTCTGCAAAAAATTGTCAATTCAAAATATAGTGTGCAAGTAACAAGAGATGATATAGCATAGAATGTAAGTTTTACTTGATTTTAAATATAGAACTTTTGATCATGACACACAATGGGTAGTGTTCAAATAGTTTGAATAGTCTCATAAAAAGTGCACAATGTAACAAATCACAAAAAATAAAAGGTTTGTCTTGTCATCACATATCCAACATAGTCACTAAAAATTCCAAAACACTACCATTTGCTAAACATTCAAAAATATTCAATAACTTAAAACTTTAATCAATGAAGAGCTAACATTTTTTTTTTTTTTTTTTACCTTTCAACATACCGAACCATGAAATGTATCTTCATACTTACTATTTAAACAGGAAAAAAAAAGACTATCTTGAGAGTAATGTAAAAGATTACATTATAATATTACATTATAATATTTATTGTGCTGGACATCTAAATAATGGTGATAAATAAATTTACTGAATATGAACTGCAGCTCTGTCCAACTCTTTGTATTGTCTACTGTACATGAAAATTATATTCCTGAGTTCCATACGTCATAATTCCAAAGACGATAACTGTTTTAATTATAGGCAAGTGTAACTCACTTAATTAACTGTGTATGAATGGGCTTCCCAAGCAATATACAATCACTAACACTCAAGGCTTAATGAAGTACATTAACAGAAAGAAGATAGAGCAAGGCTAGTTTTAAAACATATGGAATGTACTACCTAAAATGTGAATTTCTCACAGTACCTAATAAATCAAACAACTGACCTGGTTGCACTGATGTAAGCTGCAATTTATTTAATGATCAGTTTTTAATAAAAATAAATCATCTATAAAAGTTTCTCACCTGGTGGTCAAGTTATGTAATATCAGCTCACAATAATTATGCAAGAGTAAAATCACAGTCTTTTGCATGAAACAGCCCAACAAAATGAAGAATAATCAAACTCTTAAGAAAAAGTACTATAACAATGCACAATACTATATGACATGTGTTATGTACCTATCACAATATATAAACAAAGCAAAGTTTGTAAATATTAGTACAAAATGTAAAATTATTTGAAGATTATGATGTTACCCAGGTGTTATGGCAGATGAATTGTCATGTTAAATGTTTAGTCCACAATTCAACCTTGTCTTAAAAATTGCAGTAATAACAGAAATATAAAGTATAAGTTCTTACTACTACTGTACTATATATGTAACTGTTTATTATCATTAATTCAGTAAAAATAGGCAATATCACTCAACAGGCTTTTCCACAGCAAACTATATTTTTTTGCAACCTGTGTTCATTAAAAAAATGTTTTATCACCTGAGAAACAAGAATTTTTTTATTACCTCAATGGCCATCTCCTGCCAAGGCAGGGTGACCCAAAGAAGAAAACAATTTAACCATCATTCATTCAATCGCTGTCTTTCCAGAGGTGTTTTGACACCACAATTCAGATTACCCTCCGACTGCAACATCCCCACCCCCTCCTTCAGAGTGCAGGCACTGCCCTTCCCACTTCCAGGACTCAAGTTCGGTTAACTAGAATCACATTCAAAGACTTTAGTGCAAGAGTGTAGTACATAATATTAACACTACATCAATAACAGTGTTAAAAAATTAACAAAGTACAGTGGACCCCCGCATAACGATCAGCTCCCAACTCGACCAATTATGTAAGTGTATTTTTGTAAGTGCTTTTGTAGGTGTATTTTTGGGGGTCAGAAACGGACTAATCTAATTCACAATATTTCTTATGGGAACAAATTTGGTCTCTAACAGCACCCAAACAGACTTCTGGATTGAAATAATATCGTTATGTGGGGGTCCACTGTATATCACACCAATTTAAAGGGAGCTCATGTTTGTATTAATAATAACACACCAAAATGTTTGTTCAAATACTTTTTTTTTTCACTGCAATGACCACTGGGTGAGATTCAAATATTAAGTACATAATACTAACTACTGAAGAGGAAAAGTATAAATAAAAATAAAAAGTAGATTATAAAATGTCTATATTCGATCAGCATCCAATGTTCTGTCTACTGCTACCCAACAGGGTGGTTAATACTGTTCTCTACACATCATCCTTATACAACTCTTAAGATGATCTTTTTATTCTAACTCTTTTCTTGCTTACCTATTCTTTTATCAAAGTACAATGTCTTATTGTTTAACAAATTAAAATGGAAATACATAAATTTATTAAAAATTTGAGTCAAATAATCTCATTGTTAGCATTCAGGTTTAAAGAATAGGACGAAACTAAACATTTCTTACATTTCAGAACATTTGTCAAATACAAGGCTTATATAAATTATGATTATATAAAAACAATTTTTAACACACCAGCCGTCTTTAACCAAGGCAGAGTGAAACGAAGAAAAAAAATGCTTTCACCATCAATCAAACTATCAACATCTTGTCAGAGGTACACTAATACTACAATTCAGATGCCCCTCCAAAATACAAATATCCTCACCCCTCCTTCAGAGTGCAGGTACTGTACTTCCCACCTCCAGGACTCAAGTCCAGCTAACCGGTTTCCCTGAATCCCTTCATAGATGTTACCTTGCTCACACTCCAACAGCTCGCCAAGTCGTAAAAATTACTTGCTTCCACTCAGTCCTAACTAATATGGTCTCACATGTCTACTGGATATCAAAGTCCCTTGCATACACCTCTCAACACATGTATTCAGTTACATAAGAAACAAATGCAGCCAATCAAAATTAATAACAGACAATACGAATTCTACATATCACGATTAAGAAATCCCTCCCACATATTTTTCTGTTACACCTTAAGTTTATTTTTTCCTCAACATCAACTAACAGTTTGGTTAAATAACCTATTTTGTCATTTACTACATGCATCCATATACATCACTACTTCAGCAAATTAATGTAAATATGTATTCACAAGTCATCTCCCACTTAATTTCTTTCAAAATTTCTCTCCTGTGACTTTATAACACAGAGTATCCATTGATACAGATGCAGACTTCAGAAGAATACATTACTTAATTTACTTATTATTACTGAATCAGTAACCTGGGTACAGCATACCTGTTTGGGGTATTAATATTATTCTTATCTATATTCAAGTTAATAAAGTTTTTTCCATCATAATTTTAATTCATTAATAATAAATATTTGATGCTTGTTGTAGATAGGCATTCTGATGGAAAAAAGTCGAATCTAGCAAAAGAAAACATTTTATTGTCACGTGTTTCACCTACAAGAGACTTTGTCAATTACTGGAAATATGAAAAATATCAACAGTACAATCTTGAATGAAGAGACTAATAGAGGAGGATGGGTGTCCATTAATGCCAATTGTCAAATTCAAATGATGAGTTTTTAACATGGTTGTAAGAAATAATAATTCTGGTTTTAACAGTATTCATTCATTAAACCCTAAGTCAATTTGCTCAGCAGACAACAAGAATAACGAACAATTCTGGAAATAATGGACTTTGTCTATTAAATACTAAATTAATTTATCAAGTGGATAACAATTCTTGATTTAACAGATTTTGTCAATTGTTCCCAGATGTTTTCCAGTCACAGATTTTTTTAACTCCAAAATCAATTTAATCGGGGTGAGTTAAATGGAGGTTTCACTGTAAATATAGTGTTGAAAAGATAGATATATCAGGTGTGGAAAAGGTGGTGTGAGGTCAGGCACAGCGAGGTATACTGCATCTGAGATCATGTGATGTTAGGAGATGTCTAGGTTGGAGGGTCAGGTCTTTAGTAATCTGGGGTTCTTGTTTGTGAAATAGGTTTTTCCAGATGGAACATCGCTCTGTTTTGTGTTATGGTATCAGTGACACGACTGCAGATTATGAACATTGTTTTCTGTTTTTATCAGTCCCCTGGAATGACAGACATCGATACATACGTGTGTATGCATGCATGTTACAATAACACACTCATACCAGATGTCATCTCTGCAGGCATATTTATGTTCCTATATAAAAAGGTGTCCAAACATCTGGGTTTCACTTATGCAAACAAGATCACATCCCCCAGATGGGGCAGGGTGCCCTAGTAAATTCCTTAGTAGTCTTTGTGGTGAGAACTTCAGCAGTGAAATCAGCTGTTAAGAGAAGAGGATTTACTGAGGTTGCTGTGTATCCAGTGGGTAGAATTATTCAGCACTCAGTGGTGGTGTTATCTCTGGGAATGGTAAAGATACTAAGAGCCTTGTTCCTGTGGGAAGATGACTTGTTTGGGAAACTTCCATGCAGAAAAGGTTCTCTCAATATAGTTTTGTCATCAAGATACTGCTACTTTATCATTATTATAATCAAGTTTAGCACTAAACCCATAAGGGTCATACAATACTACTCACTGCTAAAGAGCCTAAGAACACACAGGAAGAAACATAGGAGCACACCTCTTTTTGTTCTATAGTCATGGTAATAGCAGTAGTGAATTAAATTTTTATTGCTGGTTTAACTGTAATTATACTTGAACAATTGGCATAAGCATCTAAGTTCTCACAACAAAGACTTAAGGAATTTACTAGGAAGCCTCTTCACATCATTAACATTGTTGGAGCAAGTGTTTACAGCTTTCCAAGTTGAGAATGAAATCTTGTATGCAAGTGTGTACAAGTGAATCAGTCACAGATTTCGATACCCCTTTACAGGAATATTAATTCAATTGTTGAGTAGATGACACCTGGAATGCAAGGATGATATACTGACACACACATCAACATCTCATGAACTGGAAATGAGCTCATCAAGTTCAATCTAAATAAGGGAGGTCAGGTTTAATTCCTTGGATCAAGTGGCCCAATCAATGTCTTGAAGGGTATACCAGAAGAATGACACTGATAAATGTTGGTGTTTAGAATTTGCAGATTTTACATCGCTGATATCAAAATGCAAAACAAAGATGTTCCTTCCAGCAAAATTCACTGCACAAATAATTTTGGATCAACATAAGAATCACAGAATGCCATGACCTGAGCCCCCTTTGATATACCTTTGAACAGTTCTTTGAGTTTCACTACTCTCGGAACATCATCATCTTATCTCAGGTGCAGTATACCTCACAGTGCTTGACCTCACCCTCACCTGAACTTTCTTGAACCTGATGTCACCTCTCCTATATCTTATGTGTCTATCTTTTCAATACTAAATACATGGCGATGTTTTGTTTATTTCCTATACTTGATTAAAGTCTCTTATATGTGAAATGTCACAGTAACAAATGGTCTCCTTTCAATACACACATTGTTATCCACAACTTGTCAACTCACAGCCATAATCCTACCAGATAGGCATTTTGTAAAGGCAAAAGCTATTATCTGGTCACTTACATGTGCAAAATCTGCACCGTCAGATGAGTTTTCAAAATGTTGCAGTAAACTGCATCAAGCACCATTTATTACAACCCATGATCATTAAAAAAAATGACAAATGAAAAAAATAGACATTACCTTCATAAGATAAATAATGTGGCGAATGTGATCCATTCTTCAACTTGCTGGACAAAAATATGCAAGTGCATAATATAGCAATAATTTTCAGACTAGTGTACTGTAATATGCATTTTGATGTGGCTAAACTTTAAGTCATTCACATTCCTTGAAGTTGTGGCCCCAGAACTAGAGCTACAAGATGCTGTCCTTCCATTATGTGGTTCAGCGATTTACCTGAAAGAGAAATATGGGTTATGAATTACATAGGTGAAAGATGAGGAACATATTAACATCATTATACAGTGGACCCCCGGTTAACGATATTTTTTCACTCCAGAAGTATGTTCAGGTGCCAGTACTGACCGAATTTGTTCCCATAAGGAATATTGTGAAGTAGATTAGTCCATTTCAGACCCCCAAACATACACGTACAAACGCTCTTACATAAATACACTTACATAATTGGTCGCATTCGGAGGTGATCGTTATGCGGGGGTCCACTGTAATGTTAAAATCATTGTTACCGTATTGACCACTCGCCCAGAAAATATGGCAAAATATTTTAGGGGGGGAAAAAAAAAAGAGGAGGGTTAAAAATACACAAAATGACACCTGTACCTTCCATACATGCTAGCACTATATGCTACTATACCCCCTTACCCTACATTAAGTAACACCATACACTATAATTCCTCTACACTCAAGCAAAATAATCACAGTACTAATTTCCCATGAACTGTTTACACATATACTACACTCACCATATCAGCTCATATCTCAACTCTTGTCAGGTTCGCTCGAATATACTGTTCTTTCTTCTTCACCCTATCACTTTCCATTTTGTATACTGAACTCTTCTTATTAAGTCACACACACTTTTCCATTAAAATATTACTCTAAACACTGTAATTCCTTATTCTACCTAAATCCCTAATATCAAACTTGCTCAAGTGGTCCAATTCTATTGATCTAACTAATGATTTTTGATGCTCAGTCTTGAAATAGTGTTTCACTGAAGTACACAAAGCATGCAATATAATAATTCACTTATAAGCCCATTCTTACATAGTATGTTCTAATATATATGAAGTGCAGTGGCCACTTTTTCTTTTATTTACTAATCAATTCTATTGAAAACTTCCTATGTCTATCAGTGCTATTACCATTCATCTTAAAAAGAATAATTCTGACTAGGGCAAGTTTTTGTTCCCATATATTTTACAAAACTGGCTATCTTCATAACTCATGTATATGTGAGCGTGAAGCTAGCGCAACTCGTACACCCAGTCCCAAATATTTGCTCGGACCCATAAAAACTTTTTGCATTTATGTAACCTACAGTATTTCATAAATAGTCTTGTACCTATTTATCCAATACTACATCTATAAATGATTCTAGGTATCACCAATCACAGCCTAGTCTCAGACCAGGCCTCCTATACAGAAAAAGGAATTTTTTTTTTCAATAAGTTGGCCATCTCCCACCGAGGCAGGGTGACCCAAAAAGAAAGAAAATCCCCAAAAAGAAAATACTTTCATCATCATTCAACACTTTTACCTCACTCATACATAATCACTGTTTTTGCAGGGGTGCCCAGAACAAAACAGTTTAGAAGCAGATATGCATAAAGATATACAACATATCCCTCCAAACTGCCAATATCCCAAACCCCTCCTTTAAAGTGCAGGCATTGTACTTCCCATTTCCAGTACTCAAGTCCAGCTATATAAAAATAACCGGTTTCCCTGAATCCCTTCACTAAATATTACCCTGCTCACACTCCAACAGCTCGTCAGGTCCCAAATACCATTCGTCTCCATTCACCTCTATCTAACATGCTCACACATGCTCGCTGGAAGTAAATATCTAAAGGAATAAGAAATAATGTACTGCATTAAGAAACAGAGGGAGGAAAAGATAAGTGAATAATGAATGTAAGGACGGTAGAAGCTCGTAAGATTTATCTGTCATTTTACCTATTTATGAGATACACACTGAATCACAATTTCAGAAGAACAGTAACCCGAAAAGTTTTGACTCGGCTATGTTGTTTGTTAATTTATGGCTACATCTGTATGATTTCCTAAAAATACAAGATCATTCAGTGCTAGTATTGTGCAGGTATATGAAAATGGGTAATACGAGAGTGCTTTTTCATTTCTCATCTAAACAAGTTACTGTACTCATATTCTCAAGGAAGAGTGATTATGACTAAAAGATCATGCATGCACTTGCAATTTATTCATTAACAAAGTGGTAAATTCCATTTTAAAATTTTTTAAATCTTATTGCATAATATATAGATGTTTACATGCTTCTCTGATACCTTTTCCTTCACCTCTTGAAAACCTTTTCCATATATATAACCTGAACTATCTGAACGTTACATGGCCTTGGTGTATTAAGTCTGAAACTGGCTCCTCTTACTTAAAAAATACTCTGATTACATTTAACAGAAATCAAGCAACTCCCCACTGGACACGAAGGTATCTATATTCACATTTGCTTGACAAACATGTAAATATTTACCCTTTTGTACAATTTTTGTACTTAGGGTAAATACATACTCTATATACGTATATGTCGTGCCGAATAGGCAGAACTTGCGATCTTGGCTTAAATAGCAACGCTCATCTTGCCATATAGGACAAGTGAAAATTTGTGTATGCAATAATTTCGCCAAAATCATTCTGAACCTAACGAAAAAAATATAATTGATTGTGTTTGTTTAGTACTAAATTACTGTAAACGTATTTAAAATATATTTAGTTGGGTTAGGCTAAAATAAATTGCTCTTGTTATAAAAAGATTAGGTAAGTTTTCTAAGATTCTTTTGGTGCAAAATTAAAAATTTTTACATTAACATTAATGAAAAAAATACATCTTTAAACGTATAAGAGAAAATTTCAGAAAGGACTTAATTTTAAATGAGTTCTTGCTAATTGGCCAGTTTTACATATTTGGCATGACATATATACATATACATGTATATAAATAGATAAGAAAGTATCACTCTTGAAAGATTAAAACGTGCCATTGCTACTTCATTACTAACGCTGAATTTATAGAACTCGGCCCTGCCTATCTTGTAGTGCTTACCCTTAATAAGTGGCTCATTTGTCATGACTTTGACACTCGAATAATAATCGGTTGGGCATGTCCATTGTGCACGTAACTGTCGAGCAGTCTGGCGAGCACTTAGCCACCATCTCTCATCATTCACATCGCCTTCCATGGTTTCAATACTGCCAGAGTATCAACAGAATTTCTTAATTATAATAATATACATATATACAAAATATTTATAATTCAAATAGAACAACTTGCTATATAAACAAAAATGTGGTTAGAAGCTTGCAAAGGGAGATAAATATGACATTATATATTGCTGTGACAGACATGTACAAAAATTCCCTTGCAATAATAATGATAATAATAATAATAATAATAATAAACAAATAATCTGCACATAGGTGAATGAAACTTACGTGACATTTTGATCTGATTTGGATCATTAATTCTGTGTGACTAGTCAATGGTACAAGTCAGACCAAAACACTGCCGTAAGTTTTGTTCTTCTATGGGTAGGTTATTTGTGTATTGTTTCAATCACAGTATTGTGCCTTTTTATTCTTCTATAATAATAATAATAATTTTTTATTAATGTATTACAAATTACAGTTTAACCCTTTCACTGTTGAGACCCTTGCTCACAGTCTTGCTCTCAATGTCGAAGAATTTAAAAAAAAATTTTTATTTTGAAATGATAATCTTTTCCCGTGCTGGTGACCAGCAGGTGCCATTGGCAGCCTCTCCTGGCCTATTACCAGTTCTTTCTGACACCATATGGTGCAACATATAGCATTCACTGGAAGTGTGGCTTGTAGAATTGTGGCACATACAAATGCCATCTCGGTGCTGGGTACAGGGATGATTATGGTCATTGTGTGGGGACCTAGGTTTATTACACACTGACTGGTAGTGTCCACAGTTAGCGCAGTTAAAACACATCACCATGTGCTTGGCTGGCGGAGCCGGCGGTGATGAATGATGCTCACGTTTGCCCTTTTACCTATTGTTCATACCTGACCTATTGTTATTAGTGCTTGACCTATTATTTGTACTTGACCTACTATTTGTACTCGATCTATTATTCTTTGTGTAAGACGGAGTGCCACTGGCTGGTGACTGACGGCTGCAGCAAAAGTGACGGCTTGCTGTAATGGCGGTGCTGCTAGGGTTGGCATTGGGGGGAACTGGTACTCCTGTGTCAACAAGACGGCACTACGCTTACCCGCTCTTACTCGGCACCAGCTCAACACAGAGTCAACAAGGTCTACTCCATCTCTCCCTTGCGGGCATGGCCTCCACCCCCCCAGGCCTGAGCACCTAAACACACTGCCTGTGTACCATGAACTGCAAATAAAGTAAGAAGCTTCCAAAGAGTATCAGTGATCCCACTACCAAACACACGTAATCATTCCATTATAAATGGTGGAAGCGGTGGTCACAGCAAGTGTGTTGCCCTTGGAGAGGAAAGAAGGAAGGAATGAAGATGCTGTTTCCACTTCATCATCCCATACAAGAAGTATCCATCTCTCAACAAGTTATCCTGATGTGGTGTCTACAAGTCTCAGCATCCAGACACAGGTACGAGCAAGATCTATGCCAAAATTTGCCGAATTTCTTTGAGAAATCTAAGTGGCGTCCCCTGTGACTCATCTTCACAGCGCTCCATGCTGTTTCTCAGTCATGTATTCAGCGTCACCTGTATGTTTCTGTTGTTGTTCAGAACAGCACGGCTATTTCAGCAAGTCAGAGATGAGTTTGTGGTGATTTCTGTGTCCATGGTGGTAGAATCACACTGACTTCCACGTGTGTATGTGTGAGGAAGGTAGGTGCACAGTCGTGGCTCCACCATATGCACCTCACCCACGCTCATCTCACGCCACCACACTACAAGACTCACCGTTACTCTCACTCCCTCTCTGCTGTTTTTCTAGGAATTTGGGGTGAATTCTTTGCCAGAGCTGTGTATCTGAATGCCCGAGGTCACTTGAAGCCACATGGATTATGAAGCCACGTGTGGATACGTCCATGTGGGTTAACAAGCCAGATCCCAAGCCACATGCTGTGGTCTGCTGCCCGAATCATCCCATGACGTCTGCCTGACGTCACTCCAGGACGTCACCCCACGACATCACCTCAGGACGTCTCCCCGACATCACCCAGGATGTCTGCCAGACGTCACTCTGGACGTCTGCTCGACGTCACTCATGAAGCTGCCAGACGTCGCTCCACGACATCTGCCCAACGCCACCCTGGACATCTGCCCGACATCACCCACAATGTCTACCTGACATCACCACACTATGTCACTCCAGTGACATCACCTCACGACATCATGCCTGACATCACCACAGGATGTCAGATTGACAGTGTTATAGTTTCACAGTGAGCAATTTGTTTCAGTGTTGTCAAGAAGATTGAGAGAAGATATATGTCATATGTTAATTTCCTCGCAGTCAGTGTTCTCACATGTTCGTAAATGTTTTAGCGTCGATTTTTGCACAGAAAAGTGTCATTTGCTAGTGCAAGCCATGTTGTAACTGCATGTGCAGTAGGTGTGTGCAGTTTTCCATGTGTCCTGCGTGGTCTGAGTACAGCTGTGTGTGTGTAGACCACAGTATGGTCTGAGCCCAGACCACTGGTAGCATCCTTGTGTTACACCCTTGACCGTTGACAGATGACATTAGTCAGTCCAGGTGTCAGTTATGAGCATCTGAGCCCCCTTTGTACAGAGAGCTCTTCTGCTCACTGCTTGTAAATGCCCTACTGAGTCGTACATACGACGACTCCCCGTTGAGACTTGTTTTGCTCCACCTCCTGACCGTCAGAATGCAATTATATGTAGAGAACAAGTCTGAGGACGCTTAGACTAACCTCCACTATGACTCCAACTCTGTTGAGAGAATGGCATTGTCAAGCCACAGTAGTTCTGTCAGCAGGCAACTGTCTGACTTGTGTCACAGCTTCAGTGAGCAGCATGCACAAAAATTATGCCACTTTGACTGCTAGCTCGCTCGCTCGCTGCAGTTACGGTGTATGCTGCTACGATTCCCATATGTTCGCCTGAGTCGTCCCTGCCATGACTCACTTCACCGGCCGGCAGTGACAGCCCCAGCGACAGTACCAGTTGAGAAATGTCCTCCTGAGTCGCTTGCCAGAAGAAGTCCTGCCCAGCTGCCGAGTACTGACGACACTTCACTGGAGGGCACCAGCAGATTGTGCCCCAGGATGAGTGAACCCTGCAGCGACTACTATGATGACTGCTGCACTGTTCCAGAAGAGACCGTACCCTGTTACGTCACAGCTCAGCCACAGCGATGTCTCCTGTTTTGCAGTATCTGTCCAGATGCAGGAAGGCATGCAGTGATGCCCACTGCCATGGACCACAATGTTTTAGCACACCCCCCCACCTTATTTTCTTCCCTCCCTGTAGGAAGCTTTTTTCCCCGTGTCCACATGTATGTACATATACACATCTTTTTATTCTGTGATCTATGCCCTGCTCCTGAGAGAGAGAGAGAGAGAGTTTTTTTTTCAATCAAGCATGGTCGAGGACGACCATGGGTAGGTGGCCGAGCAAAATGTAGACAGTAAGCCTACATGGCTAGTTTCCATAGTTTCTACCAGAAGGCAAGCCTCAGCGGCCATACCCAGTTCAACCCTCACCATGCTTACCTGCCTTTACTCAGGCAGCCGACTTCACTCAGGAAACAAGGCCTACTCCATCTCTCCCTCGCGGGCCTCCCCCCCCCTTCCCCAGGCCTGGGCACTTGAACACACTGTCTGTGTACCAAAAACCTAAATAAAGGAAGAAGCCTCTGAAGCCTTATCATTCATTCCCGCTACCAAACACACACGTAATAATTGCGTGAACGATGTGCATGCAAATTACCTCTGGCATTGGGTTACTTATGATCCTCTTTAACATTAGTTATGAGAGAGTGAGAGAGAATACTTGCCTGTATGGATCTTCTTCAAGTAGTGGCTCCTTATCTATAAGATAATACTGTTTGGTATCCATATTAAAGATGAATGTTGCCGTAGTTTTGTATTGACGACGGGTTAAAGAACTAATTGGGGACCGGACTGTCTTGCTCAGTCCTTTTACAACTGTTGCAGCCTGTACCAACACTGAAGCCAGGGCCACTATGTCTCCACTACTTGGGCACACCTTGGAGATATAGCAATTAAATTAATGTTTGGTGTGCACATACACGCATGTATGCATACATACATACATACCCCACCAACACAGGGTGACCCAAAGAAAACACATTTGCCAATAACTTTCCTTGTATGAATCTTAATCCTGGCTTCGTTTCTGCAGATGCCTTCCTTTCCCACTACATTGTAAAATGCACCAAACTTCAGAACACCCATGACTTAACCTGATTCCTTTTTCTTCTTCTCCCTCTTCCCCTTTCCTCTTTCCTTTTTCTCCCTGGGTTGTCTTTCTTCTGCCTTGGGTATTTGTTCCTTCACTATTCATTTATTTTCCCCCCCTCTGTGTTCTTGCTCTTACCCTCTGTGGGCACCTAGCTCCCTTGCAGTGCTCCTCTTTCTTAGTATTTGACTGGCTGCTGCTCCTCCTCCATACTACCTTCCCCACTACTACCTTCTACCTCCACTACCGTCACTACCACCTCCTGCCTATATATTCTCCCTATTCTCCTTTTCGTTAGTGTGGCTTTGTAAATGGTCCAAGTCAGACCAAAACGGTCTCGTACGTTTCCCCCTTCTATGTGCAGGTTATTTGTGTATTGAGAGCAGCTAAAGAAATGAGACACACTACCTGGCTTAATCTAAGCAAAATGTACTATAGTAAATCCTCAATAATAGACTTCAATTAAACAGATTTCAGAAATAGCAGGAAAAATCTGTTGGGTAAACTGTACATCATGGCGAGGTGATACTATATGAGTTGAGAACATTTGTGTAATTTAATTAAAGTATTCCAGGTGTCAGTAACAGTGTAAACCATCTTCATTTCACATCTTTTTTTCTTATGTTATACCAGTGTTAATTTCTAAATGTTCTCTCTCTATAGATTTTTTTTTTAGCACAATGGCCATCTACCAGGGTGACTCAAAAAAGGAGAAACATTTTCTTCTTTTTTCATTTAGTAATTTATACAGAAGAGATTACTAGCACCTTGCTACTGACATTTTAGTCACCTCTTACAACAAGCATGGCAAATGGAAGAAGGATTATTCTCCACTTCCCTATGGAGAGCACATAATTTTTTTTTTACAATTTATATCAGGTTAGAGTAAATTACATGAATCAACAGTACCATGTTCAGAAGTATAAACAAATTCTTTCTAGGATTAGTTTGATGAAGCACTACAGGAACACAGCCTATCAGATATACATTGTTCCTAAACACCAGAATAAAAATATGAATGATCTAAAAATCACTGGCAAAAAGAAAATATTCAAATTAGTCAAGTCTTTAATGTGAAAATCTATCAATACAAATCTGTAAGTAGGGAATATGAAATCTTAAAACTATATCATGGTGGCAAAGGGAATGTATGAAAGTATAGTAGTACCAACACTCTTATGTGAGTGTGAAGCTTGGGTTGTGAATGCAGCAGTGAGGAGGCGGTTGCAGGCAGTGGAGATGTCCTTTCTAAGGGCAATGTGTGGTGTAAATATTATGCAGAAAATTCGGAGTGTGGAAATTAGGAGAAGGTGTGGAGTTAATAAAAGTATTAGTCAGAGGGCTGAAGAGGGGCTGTTGAGGTGGTTTGGTCATTTAGAGAGAATGGATCAACGTAGAATGACATGGAGAGCATTTAAATCTGTAGGGGAAGGAAGGCGGGGTAGGGGTCGTCCTTGAAAAGGTTGGAAGGAAGGGGTAAGGGAGGTTATGTGGGCAACGGGCTTGGACTTCCAGCAGGCGTGCATGAGCGTGTTCGATAGGAGTGAATGGAGACAAATGGTATTTGGGACCTGACGATCTGTTAGAGTGTGATCAGGGTAATATTTAGTGAAGGGATTCAGGGAAACCTGTTATTTTATATAGCTGGACTTGAGTCCTGGAAATGGGAAGTACAATGCCTGCACTCTAAAGGAGAGGTTTGGGATATTGGCAGTTTGGAGGGATATGTTGTGTATCTTTATACGTATATGCTTCTAAGCTGTTGTGTTCTGAGCACCTCTGCAAAAACAGTGATTATGTGCGAGTGAGGTGAAAGAGTTGAATGATGATGAAAGTATTTTCTTGTTGGGGATTTTCTTTCTTTTTGGGTCACCCTGCCTCAGTGGGAGACGGCCGACTTGTTAAAAAAAAAAAAAAATCATGGTGGTAGATATAAAATGACAGGATTGCATAGACACTAAGACATACAAATAAATTCTTAGAAAAATACATTCATTGTGGGCCTCAAATTTTTCTCCATTTTTACTGGTTAAGGAATCCTCACAAAATAGTTTTATACAAAATTTAGCAGTTACAGTAGTACTTACATCAACAATCTCTACATTGTAGTCATTGCAAAAGAAATACTTTTTTCCAGCTTCAGTACATAATCTCTGAGCCATTTCATGACAGAACTGTTCAACATCCAAGCTAACTTGCTTTACTAATACACCTGGCGCCATCTGTCAAAACAAAAATAGTGTGAAGATCATTGGATCAGAAGCTACAAAAGTATAAAATATATTACACTTACCCTCCTAATAAATTTAATGACTATTATGAAGCAGGCAATATACTTCCAATCTCCAAGTCTTCAGTCCAGCTAACTGGTTTCTTTAAGTCCATTCATAAATCTTGCCTTGTTCAGACTCCAAGAGTATATTAAATACCAAAAGCCACTTTCCTCCACTCACTCCAACCTGATACAGACCTGCTGTTTGAGCAAACCCCTATTCCTTACAACCTCCACCACATACTCCCTCCAACCTGGCCATCTACCACCAAGTAGGGTGACCCCAAAATAAAATTCAACACATTCATCATCATTTATTCAACAGGTGTCTTGCTAGTACAAACATCACATTTCAATACTGACTCAAGCTCCAGCAGAAGATAAATATTTTCAACATATGTGTCAGTTCATGGCATAAGAGCACTTACACTTATTCAGGCTCCTCCATCATGACCCCCCTCTGGCAAAACTAATACACCGCATGACATCATTGTAATATGTATTCTTCCCCACCATTAGAATATGGAGTGACCTGTGTGGATGGGGAGAAGGGATAGGGGAGAAGATAGGGTAAAAGAGAGAGGAGAAGATAGATAAGGGAGGAATAGGGAAGAAAGGAGAGGGAGAAGGAATAGAGGAGAAGGGATGGAAAAAGAAGGTGGGAGAGAAGAAATGGGGGATGGGAAAACGTGGGATGGGGAGAACAGAAAGGAAAGAGGAAGGGAAAGATACGGAGGAGAATTGCAATACAATTTTTATTTCTTAATACAGTTCAAATAATGTAGTTTATATGTAATAAAACAATGGTAGGCACAAAAGAGTCACTACTTATGTGATGCATTTTGGGCAAACTAATCCTAATGCTTAAATGTTACTTAAGAATGTGTAGTTAAGGACAGAGTAAAAAAGAGGGGAGGCAATGTGCACGAGTAAATAAAAAAGAAAAAGAGAATAGAGAAAAAAAAGAGGAAAAAAGAAAGAGAAAAAAAAGAGAAAAGAGAAAAAAAAGAAGAGAGAAAAATGAAGAGAAGAGAGAGAGAAAAATTAGATATACAGTGGAACCTTGAGTTTCGGCAGTAATCTGTTCTAGGAGCTAGGCCTAAACTTGAAAGGGCTGAAAGTCGAAGCAATATTTCCCATAAGAAATAATGTAATTACAATTAATCCATTCCAGACCCACAAAAATATTCACAAAAAATACATTTTTTAAAGAATAACTATAGTTTAATACACAAACAACAAATATAAATACGTACTTAAATGAGTAATACAATATATAAATAAAAATTTAAATGAACATTTAAAATCACATTTACGTACCTTTATTGAAGAGTCTTGCTGGCATCTGGAAGATAGGGAGGACTTATTGTTTGGAAGGGGAATCCCCTTCCATAACTAAGGAACAAGATGATACTTATGAATATTACAACAGGAATTACTAACCAATTTTTCTGCTTTTGAATTGGAGATCATATGCATCTGAGTGTAGCCAGAACCATGCACCTCCAGAGGCAATGCATTATGATAGCCAGTTGCTGTCCCTAGCTCATCATCTGTTATGGAAAATCAACAATGATCAGTAATCCACACTTTTCTCTGACAAACTAAAAAAAAAAAATTAAAATTTATTCATATCAATTCTAGTATACTGTGTGGTGAAAATTTAGGAAAATATGAAACCAAAGTGGAGGTACACATGGTATAAATAACTGCACTAGTACAATACTGCTCGTAAACAAAGCTTCCCTGTATGGAGCAAGGAGAAACATGAGAAGAAAAGAAATGGAACAGTAACAATGAAAAAAAAAAAAATGCAATCTGCAATGCTTGAAATTCCAAGACAAATAATATCAAAATCTTAATGATATAAACCGTAAACATAAACAAACAAAATGCTCATACTATACTTTAAGTTGTTCTTACCTTCTATGTCTGTAATGATGGAAACAAGCTCGTCGTCAACCTCAATATACCGTCGGTTGAAGTCAACCACACAATTCAAAGTCTGAAATATTATTGAAGATGAAAATGCTAAGTTGCTAATTATATCTGATCATTAATTTCTGACCTGTTGAACATAAAAACAAAACTTGTTTCCTAAGTATTAATGCAGCAAATTTTGAGTGATCAGTCGTAAGAAAAAAAGTGCAACAGAAAAATCAAAAGATGTGAGATAAAACAAAATATGAAAAATACTGTTATCATGATACACGTGTTCAAAGAGACTACAATGCAGACCCCTGAGAAAAGGAATAAACTGCCTCATGGAAAGTTAGGTAAGAAAAATTACATACATGAATACTGTATAGTACAGAAAAATGAATAAATAAGAAAAAATGATTGATTTCCACACTTATAAAACGAATGTTTTTTAACAGAACTACCACTTGAAAACTTACCAGAGACTGAGTGAGATCTGAAACACTGTTTGGTGTTAGGTTAGAAGATCTTTCTGAAGATTTCTGAACACAACCAGGACTGAGTGTATACAATCCTAAACTCTCTCGTGAGCTCCATCTCTGCAGTTCTGCCTGTTTAAACAAGTCACATAAGAACATAAGAACATAAGAAAGGAGGAACACTGCAGGAGGCCTGCTGGCCCATACTAGGCAGGTCCTTTACAATTCATCCCACTAACAAAACATTTGCCCAACCCAATTTTCAATGCCACCCAAGAAATAAGCTCTGATGTGAAAGTCCCACTCAAATCCAACCCCTCCCACTCATGTACTTATCCAACCTAGATTTGAAACTATCCAAAGTCCCAGCCTCAATAACCCAACTAGGTAGACTGTTCCACTCATCAACTACCCTATTTCCAAACCAATACTTTCCTATGTCCTTTCTAAATCTAAACTTATCTAATTTAAATCCATTACTGCGGGTTCTCTCTTGGAGAGACATCCTCAAGACCCTATTAATATCCCCTTTATTAATACCTATCTTCCACTTATACACTTCGATCAGGTCTCCCCTCATTCTTCGTCTAACAAGTGAATGTAACTTAAGAGTCTTCAATCGTTCTTCATAAGGAAGATTTCTAATGCTATGTATTAATTTAGTCATCCTACGCTGAATGTTTTCTAACGAATTTATGTCCATTTTGTAATACGGAGACCAGAACTGAGCTGCATAATCTAGGTGAGGCCTTACTAATGATGTATAAAGCTGCAGTATGACCTCTGGACTTCTGTTGCTTACACTTCTTGATATAAATCCCAGTAATCTATTTGCCTTATTACGTACGCTTAGGCACTGCTGTCTTGGTTTAAGGTTGCTGCTCACCATAACCCCCAAGTCCTTTTCGCAATCTGTATGGCTAAGTTCTACATCATTTAACCTATAAGTACTAGGGTTACGGGCACTCCCAAGCTTCAGAACCTTGCATTTATCTACATTGAACTGCATCTGCCACTTTTCTGACCAAGAATAGAGTTTGTTTAAATCCTCCTGAAGTTCCATAACATCTACGTTTGAATCAATTATCCTACCTATCTTTGTGTCATCGGCGAATTTGCTCATATCACTAGTAATTCCCTCATCAAGATCATTGATATATATTATAAACAACAACGGGCCCAAGACTGATCCCTGTGGAACGCCACTTGTTACAGATCCCCTCTCGGATTTAACCCCATTTATGGACACACTCTGCTTCCTGTCAGTGAGCCATGACTCGATCCACGAGAGCACTTTTCCCCCAATGCCATGAGCTGCCACTTTCTTTAACAGTCTATGGTGCGGAACTCTATCAAAAGCCTTACTAAAATCTAAGTAAATAATATCAAATTCTTTATTGTGGTCAACAGCCTCAAAAGCTTTACTGAAGAAAGTTAATAAATTAGTTAGACAAGACCGGCCTCTTGTGAATCCATGCTGAGTATCATTAATCAAGCTATGCTTATCGAGATGGCTTCTTATAATCTCAGCTATAATTGACTCTAGTAATTTGCCTACAATTGAGGTCAGGCTTATTGGGCGGTAATTTGATGGTAACGACTTGTCCCGTTTTAAAAATAGGAGTTACATTAGCCATCTTCCACATATCAGACACTACACCTGTTTGAAGAGATAAATTAAAAATATTAGTTAATGGTTCACAGAGTTCCATTTTGCATTCCTTAAGAACCCTTGAAAAAACCTCATCAGGACCCGGCGACTTATTTTGCTTCAGTCTGTCTATCTGCTTCACAACCATCTCACTAGTGACTGTGATGTTACATAATTTATCTTCTTCTAGCCCACTGTAAAAAATTAATTACTGGAATATTGTTAGTGTCTTCCTGTGTAAAAACTGAGAGAAAATAATTATTTAAAATCAAGCACATTTCATTCTCTTTGTCAGTAAGGTGCCCATAGTTATTTTTAAGGGGACCTATCTTATCTCTAACTTTTGTTCTATAGACCTGGAAAAAACTTTTTGGGTTAGTTTTAGAATCCCTAGCAACTTTAATTTCATAGTCCCTTTTAGCTTTTCTTATCCCCTTTTTAATGTCCCTCTTAATGTCAATATACTGATTCATAAGATGACCCTCACCTCTTTTGATACGCCTATAAATTCCTTTCTTATGCCCTAGTAGATATTTGAGCCTATTATTCATCCATTTTGGGTCATTTCTATTTGATCTAATTTCTTTATATGGGATAAACGCTCTTTGAGCAGCATGTATAGTGTTCAGAAAACTGTCATATTGATAGCTCTCTTCGTTACCCCAGTCAACAGATGATAAGTGTTCTCTAAGCCCATCGTAATCTGCTAAGCGAAAATCTGGGACTGTTACTGAGTTATCGCTACTATCGTACTTCCATTCAATGCTAAATGTAATTGATTTGTGGTCGCTAGCACCCAGTTCCTCTGAAATTTCTAAATTATTAACAAGGGATTCATTGTAATAAAGTTGGTAGAATTACCGACAATATGTAAAGTAAAAGGACACAAGTGCAACTAATGTGACATTTTGATAAAGCTCCTGGAGAGCGAAACGTTGCCACAATAATGTCACATTAGTTGCACTTGTGTCCTTTTACTTTACAAGGGATTCATTGTTTGCCATAACTAAGTCAAGTAAGTTATTTCCCCTTGTAGGTTCTGTCACAAACTGCTTCAAAAAACAATCCTGAAATACTTCTAAGAAGTCGTATGATTCTAAATTCCCAGTCAAGAAATTCCAATCAACATGACTAAAGTTAAAGTCTCCTAGAATTACTACATTATCGTGCCTTGTGGCCTTAACAATTTCCTCCCATAGTAGTTTTCCTTGGTCCCTATCTAAGTTTGGGGGACGGTATATCACTCCTAAAATCAGTTTTTCATGCCCCTCTGAAAATTCTATCCCCCAAAAAGACCTGATTGTTACTCGACTTAATACTTAACTTAAAAACTTAATTAAAGTTAAAAATAAATGTTAAGCATACTAAAATTTTATCTTTTTTTATTGCAATAAATATTGTATTAAAATTAGACTTAAATATAAACCCTTCATAACTTTGGGATATTTAATGTGAGAAAAAGTGTATGGAGAGAAAGAGAGAGAGAGAGAGAGAGGGGAGAGAGAGAGAGAGAGGAGAGAAGAGAGAGAGAGAGAGTTGAGATAGAGATAGAGAGAGAATAGAGAAGAAGAGAGATAGAGAGAGAGAGATAGAGGAAAAAGAGAGAGATAAGAGAAGAGATAGAGAGAGTAGAGGATAGAGAGAGAGAGATAGAGGATAGAGAGAGAGAGATGAGAGAGAGAGAAGAAGAGATAGAGAGAGATAGAGGAAAAAGATAGAGAGAGATAGAGAGAGGAGATAGAGAGAGAGAGATAGAGAGAAGAGATAGAGGAGAGAGAAGAGAGAGAGAGATAGAGAAGAGAGAGAGAGAGAATAGAGAGATAGAGGGGAAAAGGGTGAAAAAAGATCTGGCAAAGTAGTCACTTGTCAACCCCCGGCTACGTTGGTGTCTGACCAAAGGCTGTTTTTAGGGGCATTTAGATCCCAACAGAACGAGGGAGGACCACACGCACAACCTGGCTAGGGAAAGAGGAAATTTGGGCCCAGCCCTTTGCTCTGAGCTCGCCACCACCGACTGGAATGCTCTTCCCCAAAGGGGGATGTTGACAACCAAGTGAAAGAATTCACTGGACACATCCTTAATCTACAACAAGAACACATTCCTCACCGGCAATATGGGGACGAAGCCTACAGATCAGCCTTGGTTTGGCTTTCGTTGTAGAGAGGCTGCTACTGTAAGAAACAAAGCATGGCGAAGGTATAAGGGGACATCCTACCACCTATAACAAAAACTTGCACATGCAAGCCTGTAGGCATATGGGTGATGTTCAAAAGTGGGTCATTGCTAAATGGGGGGTGGGACACTAAAAGAAGTTAGATCAGGTAGGGTAGGCTCCAAAACCTGGTGGTCCCTGGTCAAGGACAGACAAGGTTATCTGCCTGATGAACTTATTCCACCTCAAAATCGACAGGATGGGACCACCTCTACTAGTAGTCAAGAGAAGGCGGACCTCTTTGCTGAACACTTTGCTACCAAAATGAAAGTTCCTGATCCCAGCAAGGGACCCTCCTTGGCTAGCAGCAAGAACTGTTTTAAAAAACTGTCAGTGGTGACAATAAGGCAGGAGGAGGTGCATTTTCCTTCTTAAATCGCTTGACCAAGAAGAGGCTGTGGGCCCAGGAAAAATTGACCCCAAGATTGTTGAGAAGATGTGCAGACCAGCTAGCAGCACCTCTAACTCGCGTCTTTCAGCACTGCCTAGTACAGTGTAAATGGCCCTCTCTAGGGAAAGAGGCAAATTTTAGTCCCTGTTCACAAAAAAAAGAGCAGAGCAGAAATCAGCAACTACAGACCAGTGTCACTCCTGTCAATCACTGGTAAGATCCTTGAGACAATAATCTCAAGACAAATGACAGAGTTTTTTGACTACCACTCACTATTTTGTGATCGTCAATAGGGCTTCAGGAAAGGTTACTCTGTGCTGATCTGTTGTTAAACCTCTCCACTAAGGGGCACCAGTCACTGGATGAATCCAAAGTCACCTGTGTGGTAGCACTGGACATTGCTGGCGCTTTCGACCGGGTGTGGCACCAGGGCCTCTTAGCAAAACTTCAAGCACTGGGAATTGCAGGCTCTACGCTATGTCTCCTCAGTGATTACCTTCATGGTATATCTCTAAGTGTAGTCCTCAATGGAACGGAATCAGCAAGGCATCCTATTGGGGCAAGTGTTCCACAAGGAAGCGTGCTGGGTCCATTGTTATGGAATGTCTACTTCAATGACCTTCATCTCATCCCAGAATCACATGCATATGCAGACGATACACTGTACGAGGCACAAGTACGCTCACACCTTGAGTATGCTCCACTTTCTTGGTTTGCCTGCCCCCCCTCTCATCTGCGACTGCTTGACAGAGTAGAGAACAGAGCAAGACGTCTCATCTCTCACCTGGACCCATCCTGGATAGATCTGTCATTTCAGCAGAGCCTTCAACATAGGAGGGATGTGGGTGGCCTTACTGTTATGTACAAGGCCAATATT